GTGCTGATTGACGCTCAAGATCGATGGGGTCGAACACCTCTTCAGTGGGCCGTTGCGAATCTCCAACCGAAAACCGTCGATATACTCTTGGATCACGGTGCGGATCTGAAAAGTTTCGTTTTTCCCACTGTGAGCAACTTCGCCGAGAGATTCAAATCGCGAGGTAAAATTTCGTTGAATTTTACATTGAGACTCTGCGTCTCGCCGTCCGTACGTCTGGCTGAGACAAAGACCGGTGCTCTGGCCGTCGTCGAGCGTCTCGAGCAAAGAGGCTACGAACTGGAACGTAGAGACGCCATAACTATCATGACGTTTTTTGCCGATTACGGATTATTCGATAAGTCGAGGGGTGTAGAAAAATGTTGGTACAACGACGAGAAGTTTGCCAGAAAATCGGAGAAACTGATGATATGTTCGGACCTGTCGCTCTACGACTTTCTTCGTCTGCCGCCTAAAAAAGCGGAAAAACGACTCACCTACGCGGACTACTTCCGGTTAGCACGCAGGATCGACGTTTGGAAGCTGCCCGAGGGGCCTAGAGAGGCCTGCCTCGCGCATCTGTGCGAGATGATATCGAGAGGATTTTTTCGACGATGGGCACTGGATTCATTGTTGAAGCTGACGCGTTACCAGTTACCGATTCTTTGCTGTGAATCGATCATCGAGAAGTTAATGAATGAAGATTTGTGTCGTATTTGCTTGGCGGCTACAGATTAAAGTTCTATGAGTTTATTTTGTGATTTTGAATGTTGAAAAAAATAATTAAAACTTTAGTTTCGATAGATGTGTCAGTGTTCAAAAAAAAAAAAAAAAAATATTAAAAATATTAAACTAAAAAATCAAAAATATTAAACTGAAAAAATGTGTTGGTGTCTACAATATATTACATTGGTGTTCTGATGGATTTATGAAGTTACTTTGTTCAACGATGAATGTTCCAATCGATATAAATTAAAAAAACACTCATTGTGTTCTGAAATGTCTAATGTAATTCCGCATATTTTCAACATCATGAATTAAAAAATTGTGCTTGAAACTGTTCTCCTCCAAAATCAGTTACAGAATCATAGCTTTTAATTGCAAACCACGTCGATGATTTGACAAAAAAAATAATACTCGATTACTTGAATTTCTCATGTGCCAAATGTAGCATCAGCCTGCACGCACCGCCGCTGAAATTAGGTCACCATCCGGCGCACGCGCATGTTAGAATACTATCGCGCATTGTGACGTCAAAAAGTGAAAGTAAACGCTTGATTATATATTTTACTACTTTTTCTTTTATTCTTGAAATAATTCTTAAAAAAGTTACGGCTTAATCGTGTATCACTGAATAAAATGTGTCGTGATTGGTCGCTGTAATTGGATAGGAAGCGCTAGATGCATCGAGCGCGAGTTTTAAATTTCTGGTAACGCCATCGACTACTCTACAGTATGGCAATGAGACGCATATAAGTTCAAGGCCACCGGAGGAGAAGAAATCTCATGACGTGAATACCTCAGACAGGACCTTTGCGGTCGAGCCTTTTGCCCTTGGCGCCTACGTTAGTAATTCTCCCCCTTGCAGATCTATCCTTCTGCCTCGCACTGAATTACAAGCGTTGTCCACTTTATTTTGTGTAATGAACTTACACTATTTTAGATGCCGGGCTTTAGATACTTTGAAGATGTAGCAGCTTATCCAGTTTGTCGCTATACTTCGTCACGTTCGGAAGTTCCTTGGTTGTTGCAGAGTGATCTACCAGGACGAGATATTTTCGAAATAAAAAACTTAATATTCTGTGTGTTGCGAGTGGGTGCGAAGAGAGATGGCCAGTGACACGGAATGCTTCGTAAATTTGAAGAGATTACGAGAAAATATCAATTGGGATGACGAAGTGAAGCGAGTCCATTTTCTTAATCAGTTTTATTACACATTCAGATATTGGAGAGGCCAACTTCCCGATCTCCGGAGAATTTTCACAGTGGAAGAGATCGATTGGCTACTCGAAAAATCCGTGATTCCTAGAGAAGGCCTGAATATTTACAAAAGAGCATACATCATCGAGTTCGTAGCTCGCACGGGCTACAAGGACGAGGCCCGGCTGGACGAAAACGGCGCGCCGATTTTGCGTCGAACCACACCGGTGCACCTCGCGGTCAACGTCTACTGGGGTTTCATAAATTGGAATCTGGCCATCGGCGAGCTTTTTAAAATATACGACCGATACGATCTAAATTACATCGACGAGGCGGGCATGACGCATTTACACGTGGCCTGCGATTTTGGCCTCGAACAAATCGTAGAGAAATTCCTCGTTCTCGGTCAGGATCCGAATTGTCTCGTGGCGGCAACAGGTGATACGCCGTTACACTTGGCACTGACTAAAAATCACAATTACGTGGCTGGATTGTTGCTGAGAAAGGGGGCCGATATCAATTCAGCCAACCACGCAGGAATGACGGCGTTACACATTATTTGCATAAATTGCCATGATCTCGATTGGGTAAAAATGTTTTTCCGAATGTACGACGATAGACACGAGACGGTGCAAGTCGATGCCTTGGATAATTTGGGTCGGACCCCTCTGCAGTGGGCCGTAGCGAATCTCTTGCCGGATATGGTCGATATTCTTCTGGATCGTGGTGCAGATCTATCCAGTTTCAGTTTTCCAACCGAGGATTACTTCGCCGAGAGATTTAAATCTCGGAATAGAATGGCCTTAAATTTTAAATTGAGACTTGCGACCGGCGCTCTGATCGTCGTCGAACGTCTCGAGAAACGAGGATACGAACTCGAGCTAAGAGAGGCTCTGGTCGTCATGAAATTGTTCGCCGAGTACGAATTGTTCGAGAGGCCGACGGAGGTGGCAAAAACTTGGTTCGACGGCGAAGAGTTCGCGAGAAAAGCAAAACAGATAATGCTAAAATCGAAAATATCGCTCCACGCCTTATTTCGACTGCCATATAAAGAAGCGGAGAAACAACTCACCTATGCGGACTACTTCCAGTTCGCACGCTCGGAAAATTTGTGTATCGTTCCCGATGACCAGAAAAAGGCTTGCCTTCTGCATCTGTGCGAAATAATGTCGAGAGGATTTTTTCGAGATTGGGCACTGGAATGTTTCGCGTTACTGACGCAACTTAGATTGACGTTGGATTGCAGTGAAATAGTCATCGAGAAGCTAATGAATGAAGATTTATACCGAATTTGTTTGTCAGTTACAGAAATTTCATAATAGCTTCTTATTTTTTTTCAATCATTAGTGCATGAAGTGAAAAATTTCAAATATATATCAGTGTAAAAAAAATATTTATTTACATATCATGTTGTCTTATGACCAAAAAAGCAAGCTGTTACTTTTGTCGAGTCAAAATGGGATGAAGTGCCTAAAAGGTTGAAAATGTTCAATGTACGACTGAAGAATTAAAGCACCCGAGATGCGTTTATGAGTTAGTACGAGCAGTTATCTTTATTGTTTTGGTAATACTCTGTCAGCCTTCTACAGTGTCTTAATGTTGAAAAATCCGAACAAATTTAAAAAAAAAGAATGTTTATTAATGTAATTATAAATAAATCATATTGTACATTGTGTACAGCTTGCCTCTGCGAGGAAGCTTCGTTATAGTATTATACAGTCTGGCGAACAGCAATTGTCGCTCTGATCTATACTTGTAATCTCAGTACAAATAAAGTCAATTATTATGGTATTATTTTTTGAAAATTAAACTTGCGCTTTTCGAGTCATTTATTTCTGTAACCAGTACCATTATTTCCAACAGATTGTTTTATCGATGCGCGAACTATCAAATAAAAAATCTCAAATTTTGTATACGTACGTGTGGCAATTTAGCTATTGTCTTTGAAAAAAATAGTATACTTAAAAATTTTTTCTCATTTACAAAGTCATACTTTTCTTTAGCATAACGCTAGTAAGTATATTGAGCATACATTTTAACATTTTTGTTAGATTTGTGTGGGACGTTAAAATTTTATTTTTTACTTCTATCTAAATTATTTAAATCGAAACAATTTTCTGTTGTCATGGAATTTTTTTTTTTTTTAGAAATTATGAGACCATATCAAAGGCCCGAAGTCACGACTCGTTACCTAATATTCAAAAAAACTCCCACTTGGCTCCTTCACTCTAACTCAATCGTCGCTCCCTAATTATCTCCAAAAATTAATCTTACAATCGCAATCCCATCGATTTATTCATCGTTCCGCTGCAGCCGTACGTATCTATACATAGCAATTTTCACGTTTCATCCTCGTCGTCCTCGTCGTCGTCGTCGTCGATGAATGAAATGAATTGCGGCCAATAGTGCACACGCGTACGTACGTGCGTCGAACCACACCCTCTACTCTACACGTTGCTGTTGGCACTTCGGTGACACGAGTAAACCCACTGTCAGCGGCACCACGACGACGACTGCACTACGCACACGCAGCAGCAGCAGCAGCACATACTTACGTACAGACATCATCGTCGGTTTTATAGTAAAAAGTCCGCGAGGCACACGTGTCGCCGTCGTCGTCGTAGTCGTCTTGCGGCGCGTGTCCTCGTACTTATACTCCACCCCTCTTTTGTCTGTGCCATTGCCATATACAGATATATATAGAGCCACGTGCTTGTGTATAAACGGCGCAGCCGCGAAGGGGGATGTTTGTTTGTCGGTGTTGTTGTGTGTACTACCGCCGGCGGGATGAAAGAGAGAGAGAGAGAACGAAAGGAGGATGTATTATGAAAATTTAGTTTCTCTAAAATCAATTAAATTCCCGTATTGTGCGACGCGTGTATACCACAACTTCTGTAAGGCGATTACGTAATTTCCAAAGTTTTGCGTTAAAGGGATGACGCCGTGTACAACCGTAAAGGCCAATTGTGAGCGCTGCTTTACATCGATACACGGATAAAGCATCGCGTATCCCCTTTGAAATTCGATTGCATAAAACCCCATGAATCGCGTTCGACATGTGTTTTATCAATTTTAATGGATTATTATTATTATGTATGTAGGTCGATGGCTTGCTCGAGCTCTACCGCAGATCCCTCGAGACGGCGAGGTTGGCCGAGGCGTGGCAGGTGCCGCGACTTATGGAGGACGACGACGACGACGACGATGAGATCGTGACGATGGCGGCGCTCGGAGATGCCAACGAAAGGTACGATTCAATGTTAAAATTTAGGTAAAAATCAGGAAAGTGAGTTTCGTACACGTAGATGAGTTTAATTATATAAATTTGAAAGCATCAACATTGATGCGATTTGAATTAAATTTTAATACTTATGCATGGATCATTAAATATTAATTTTACTTCAAATTTAATTAAAATTCAAAATGAAAATAAATTCAAACATTGTTTTTCATGACAAGTTATTATTAATTTTATACGAGTCAATTTATTAACATTATTGTCAATGTTCGTAATGAGTAATGAATCCGTATTGATCGAAATTATTACCAACAACGGTAATGATCAATAAATATCTTGGTTTCTACAATTATAACCATCTCCAAGAGTGTCATTATTGATAGAAGATAATAATCTACTATAACATACTTAAAGGAATATCTTCACTTTGCCACTTGCAGATGTACAAAGAAAGATCCTCACCATCTAGCGGCAAAGACTGACATTACATTCGATTGAATTCCCATACATTTCGATTACTAATTTGCCAATGAAAATATTTAAAATTCAAAAGTAGAATTATAAAGTACCAAGTCGAAGATTTAGCGTAAAAGTACTTCGATTAAAATTCATGTATGATTACACTATGTATGATTACACTAATTTAAATATCTGATTTTACAATGTATAGGCAAAAAAATCTACTGAGCGAGCGGGCCAATGCCCAGCGGCCGGGCGGCATGGCTCGCGACCCCCGCACCGGCGAGATCTACATCGCCTGTCCGGGCAACGGCCAGATCGTCGTTCTCGATCGTCGCTATCGACTTCTGCGACGCATCCGTAATCCCGACCTCGTGACCTCGCCCCAGTCCCTGGCCGTCCACCAGCACGAGATCTACGTCTCGGGTATAACGAAATAAAATATAAAAATAAAAAAATTTATTTCATCGACGGTATATATAATTGACGTTCTAACGTGTACTTTGATTTTTTTTTTCTCTCTACAGACAAGTGCCAGCACTCGATACTCGTGCTGGATCGTCGCGGACAGCTGCTGCGTCGATTGGGCACGGGCAGGGGCTCGTCGCCCGGCCAATTGCGCTGTCCGCGCGGCATCGCTTTGTCATCATCCTCCTCCTCCTCCTCATCCTCCCATCCGTTGCTGTTGTACGTGGCCGACACGGGTAACGATCGGGTGCAGATCTACGACAGCCGTGACGGCTCCCTTCAACGCTGCCCGACGAGCTTCGACTTCGATCGGCCGAGCGACGTGGCCGTCAGCCGCGACACGGGCCACGTATGCGTCGCCGACTCGGGCAATCACAAGATACACGTGTTCGAGCCTCGGCTGGCGAGGCTCGTATTCAGCTGCGGTGCTTACGGTGCTCTGGATGGCCTGTTCAGATCGCCGATGTGCGTCGAGTTCGGCGGCGGCGACGACGACGAGGACGACGAAATTTACGTGGGCGACCGCGACAACGGCCGGATACAGGTGTTCTCGGCGCAGGGCCAGTTCGTCCGCGTGCTGCAGCAGCAGACCAGCCACGGATTCGGCTGGATCTCCGGACTGATATGCCTGCCTGGACGTAGACTGCTCGTCGCGGACAGTCGCGACAATGCCCTGTACTCGCTGCGGTCGTCGTAGCGGCATTATTCTCACGCAGAGAGCTCGAAAAGCTCGCGAGCCTCGACTCTCGAAACTACGTTATATTATACGTCGAGTAGTAGTAGCTGGTGATTATTTATCTCAATTTGTCACACAGAATCGTGCGTGTGTGTACTTATATATAATGTGGCACGAAGCGCACGAGAGCTAGACCGAGCGTGTAATACTTGTGTGTGTGTACTGTGTAAGTAGGGGGATGCTGCACACTTTATAATATATAATCTATATAGGATGCGTATATGTTTTGCGCGGAGGGGACGACGGCGTGTGCGTCGCTATTCTGCGTATATTGATTTATATCCCCCCCTGCGACGACGACGACGCCGACGACGACGAGAGACTGTATTGTACATATCGTAGTGTTAGTAGCAGTGGTTACACAGGCTATTATACAATTGTGTGTGTGTGAGTGTTTGCGTTTTGCGCACCCGCAACATAGTACACACTTGAACCGAGAACGCGATGATTGATAAAGATTACGATTCGATCGAAATTTTACGTATGTATCTGCATTTAATGTATTTGATTTAGAGAGAGTATTCGAGGTTGAATTATTTTTCGGTTATAAAGAAATGTATATAATAATGTGTGATATCTTTCGTATCTGTTTGCTGATAGCAAAAGAGAGTATCACAGTTTATATTTATATAGTTTATATTTTTTAGGAAATTTATTAAGTAAACAAATATAAAATGTTTAAGAATAAAAAAAAATTATTGTTTTTTAGAGAAAAAATTATTTTTATATTCCTTGATGCCTATTCTAAAGGGAAAGTTATCAGAGTATTAATAATTCCTTCTTTTTTAGCGCGGTGAACAATTTCGATTTTATCGCTATCAGTACCATGCATTTTAGTATAAAGCGAGTCCGAAGATGGTTGTTGATACAAATTTTTAATTATCATTTTCATGATGTAAGGCGTTGAACCTGTAGACTTTCGATTTTTTGATGAATTGGAATAAAGAAATATTTACAACATCATTCATCAAAATTTGATCAACTTGATAAGTATAGTAAAGTTTGTTATATTTTGAGTAACTCTTGTCATTATTTCGTCCCATGCATATTTAACGAATTCAAAATTGTTAATTTCTCTTTTGATCAGTTTTCGTTTTGAACAATTATTCGTTGATAAAAAATTTTCTAAGCCCTTGACGCAAATCCACCCGATATATTCGGTATCGGAACTCGAATGGTCGACTGTGTCTCCGTCGGCTACGAAAATCCACCAGGACTATAATACGTATGTAATGCCAATACGTAGAGTTCTCTCCCTGATGAAGTACGTCAAGCTGGCTCTCAAATTACTTTCAAGTGATGGCTACACTGAATACGCTTGATATAAATCAAGCCTAATTAAACTTGATGATGTTGCTTTGTTTTTTTTTTCAACTTTTGCATCTAGAAATTTTTTTATCTGCATTTCATAAGCAGCTTCCAATATGTTTCATGATTAGTTTTAAGTATATTTTCTTTGTTTGCTTTGTATGTATGCTAATTTTGTTATTTTACAACTTTGATTTACTTAAATTGTAATTACGTTTTTTGTACTATTATTTCAAGTTGCCAAACGGTCTTTCGACCTTTGAAAAAATAAATTTGTCCGAATCGAATCAAAGCAACGTCAATATCGCTTACACTTTAATTTGCATTTTTTATTTCTCTCTGTCTTTGTTTATCATTCTTCGAACTTACGCATGTCAAAACAGAGACTTTCTCGCGCTATGATTTTGTTTACGTATCAAGCGTCGTCTATTTCTCGCACCCATGTAGCGTAAGTCAGTATCGCGTTACGATCGATCGAAGCGTGAATCGAGCGTAAATCATAGACCACAGCAAGTGGTCCGCGTAACAAAAAAAAAAAAAAAAAAAAAAAAAAAAAAAAAAAACAAAATTACAACGATATCTCGAACGATGGCCAAAAACGACGACGACCGCCGATGTTGGAACGAATTGAGAAGATTGAGACTGCCGGCCGATTTGCGCAACAGAGAGGAGAGAAGCGAATTTCTCGAGCAACTGTATCGTCTCGTGGAAAATTGGACGGGCGAATTGCCCAATTTGCGAAATATCTATGGAGAAGCGGAGATCGATCGGATCCTCTTGTGGGACTACGAGGACAACGAGTACTTTCGCCGGCGCACTCCCTTTATCCGGTTCGCGATAATGAGCGGCTACAGGGACAAGCCCAGACTCCGGCTCAACGGCGCGCCACTGCTGAGCCGCTGCACGGCGCTGCATCTGTTGGCCGCGCGCGACACCGCCTACTGCAGCTCCTGGGCTCTGTTCGCGATCTACGACAGGTGGGACGTGAACTATCGCGACCAGACGGGCTTCACGCACTTCCACGCGGCCTGCAAGCTCGGCTTTCACGGGGCCGTGCGCCAGTTCATCAAGCGCGGCCGAGTCGATCCCAACGAGCCGGTGCTCTGTACGGGCGACGGGCCGCTCCACCTGGCCATCAGGCACGAGCGCAGCCTCGTGTTCAGGGAGCTGCTGCTCTCGGGCGCCAATCCGAATCTGGCAGACGCCCGGGGCGAGACACCGCTGCACCTGGCCTGCCGCAAGCCGGACGACGGCGCCTGGGCGAGGCTCGTGCTCGGCCTGTCCAATCGCGCGCTCAACGTCAACGCCGAGGACGGCGAGGGTCGCACGCCGCTCCACTGGGCCGTGACGAATCTGCTGCCGGACGTGATCAAAAAGATGCTGGATCGGGGCCTCCGTCTGCCCGGCCCGTTCGCGTTCCCCGAGGAGCCGCACTTCTACCCGAGATTCGCCGAGTCCCGAGGTGGCGGAGACAGGTTCGCGGCGAGACTGGCCGCCGCCACTCTGGGCGTCGTCGAGATCTTCGCCTCGCGCGGATTCACGCGCATTCCCGCCCTGACGTTCCTGAATGTCTTTAACTCGCACGGATTGCTCGAGAGGTCGGCGCGAGCCCTGAGCACCTGGCACGGCCACGAAGAGGAGGAGTTCGCCTCGGCGGCCAGCGAATTACGGATCGATTCGAGCTTCTCGCTCTACGACCTGATCCGGATGAGACCGGCGGAGGCCGCGAGAGCCCGCGTCGCCTGGCAGGACTACTACGAGTTCGCGTGCTCCAGCCAGCTGTGGCAGCTGCCCGAGAGGCACTGGGAGGCCTGCTCGCTACGCATCTGCGAGATAATAGCCAGGCGGCTCTGCCAGCGACTGGCCATGTGGCGCTTCTGCCGTATCACCCTCTACGGGCTGCCGCTCGACGTAGCCCGAGCGATCCTGGACAGCATGACCGCCCGCGATCTGTACGACTTCTGCATGGCAGCCAGAACGCAGATACTGAGAAGCAGATTACGGGCAGCAGTCGCGAACATAGGACCGAGTAACCAGTCTAAAGTTGAAGGATAAAGCATAAGCGGTGATTTTACATTAGTAATGATATTACATATTGTTACGGTTTTTTGATACATATAATGGACGTATGTAGTAACTTTGTATTTTGCTATAGTATCGTTTACGACAGATTCATCAATTTTCCTTTGTTTAACGATGTATTTTAAGCTTGGAATTAATAAACAAACAATAGAATTCATTGATTCGCTGGTGTTTTTATTTCATTTCTATTTTATTTACAAATAATCATAGTTCAAAACATTGATAAGTTTAATCTTAAAAAAAGGTCGAATTTGTCATAAAATAGTCGAAAAAAGCAACCAATTGAATCAGTTCACGATACATGTGTTTGGCATGCGATTTTGGTATATGGTAAAAATAAATGTTTATTAAAAATTGCACTACAAGCATCGTATTTTTAATCCTTGTTATTTTTGTTTAGAAATGGAGTACTCGGTAAACAAACGCAATGATCAATAAAGTCCTTTTATTAATCAATGATTACGTGTGACATTTTTTAGGATTTTATTTCAAGTCAAATACGCTAACAGCAATGATTCTAGCTTCAATGCAAGGATTTTTTACTGTCTTATAAATAAGAAGTGATGATTTGGGGAAAAACTTTACAGCTAAATGGAATAATTGAAAGACTTATTAATAATAATTAGTTCGTGTACAAAACGTCAGAATAAGGATTTCACAATCACAACCAAATGAATAAAATTTTGAAATATTTTATTATTTTCAACAAAATTAAAGGATCTTTATGTGAAAGGTTTCTTATAAATTACAAGGTGTAATCATGTATTTGCACAATTCTTCATTGCGTCAAGGAGTCTAGGAAGGGTCTTGGGATCCTAAGGTTTGCTCCTATTATGTATTTTCTTTACGTGAACATTGAGATGAATTTTTTGACCAAATGATTTTTGACAAATATTACACTTGAAGGGTTTCTTACGATCATGTACTATTTTTATGTGAGATCACCCTTTGCTCTAAATGATTTGGGACAAATATCACATTCGAAAGGTTTACTCTGATCATGTACTGAATTTATGTGAGATTTGAGTGTATGTTTGTGTCCAAATGATTTGTGGCAAACATCACACTCAAAGGGTTTGCTCTTATCATGTACGGTATTAATGTGGTTATTGAGGGTAAATTTTCGTCCGAATGATTTGTGACAAACATCACACTCGAATGATTTGATCTGATTATGTACTGAATTTACGTGACGTTTGAGAAGACATTGGTATTTAAATGATTTCTGACAAATCTCACATTCATGTGGTTTTATATTCTGTATCTTATTGATATGTGTTTTTAGATTTTCTTCTCCTTCCTGAGCTTTTCGATACAAATTATTATATTCGAATACTTTTACCACCTCCGATTCGTCGAGATTCAATCGTGATTTTTCTTTTTTTACTCTAATCATTGGATTTTTTTCATCTAGGTTACTGGTCTCAAGATAATTTTCTATTTTCACAATAGGTAGATAACTTTGATCCTCAGTTTTGCAGTTGGTTACCGATTGAAACTTTACTTCAGGTTTCACATCTTTGCATTCAAAAACGATGAATATCTTTTCATTCATGTCATTTGTCTGATTTTCGTTTTCTATTTTTACGATAGGTGGATGACTTTCATGCAGTTGGATGGAGACTTCAGTTCAAGTTTAACATTTTTGCACTCAAAATCGACTGATATTTTTTCATCCAACTTTTTCTGCAATGCCATAACGTCATTTTCACGATTCGCCTACAACAAAAATTGTGTTATAATTTTTGATAATGGAAAAAGAGTATATCATTCGAATAATTAAACTCACTGATAATTTACAAAACGTGAATGTTCCAAAATCATCGGCTTTGAAAGACTCCCCCGAATCCAAAATATTATCGTCGCCTGCATCTGTCCAAGTATCACTCGGCTCTTCCTTCACCCTGAAGATTATAATCAAGTTCGATAAAACAGTTTAAAAAAAATATCATGGCAAGTACAAAAATTAAAAAATACCTTATTGGGTCCTCTCGGATTTCCATCACTGACTTAATTACACTCGTAATCACTGTGGATTTTCGCGAAATACATTAATTGAGGTTAATTTAGGTAGAGATCAATACACTTTTACGGATATTATTTTTAAACACTTGCTTACTGTAGGAATGTAGCAACTCGCTATGGCTAACTAATCGTGTATCCGCGTTTGTGGTAGCTGCTCGATATTTCCCCCTCCATCATCAGTTTTCCATGCGCAGTTATGTATTGCGAATTGCGATACACATGAGAAGCACTCATGGAACATTGAAACTGCATCAAAATTGAAATAAAAACTTCATTCTTCTAGGCGCACAACTGGCTTACAATCAAGTAAATCATTTAAAGATACTTGGACAATTTAAGAAAACATGATTTGCATGACTACTTTTCTAAATTTGTATTAAAATTAACGAACGATTCATTATTTTACAACGGACACATCCTATATTCATTGGATTTTTTACCAATTAAGTACTTGTAAATCGACGATAGATTCAAAAAAATTTCAGTCGAGTCCCGAGTGACTCAAGGGAAAAAGGCAAACGAGCTCTTTTACTGGATGTTAGTGAAATTTTGAGTAAAATATTCTTCAATCGTCTTTAAATCTGAAGACAAAAGTCTGTACATGTAACTGCTCAGATTGAGCTAGCAAAAAAGCATTGAGTAAAAAAAAACGAAATGACGATTTGGCAAAATTGTTTGTATCTCATAGTACATTGCGTCTCGCTTTTTCTACTTTAAATTATCCCGATCAGCCGAACGTGTTTACATTTCTCTATAACTGTCATATCAATCAGTACACGTTACGAGTAGGCCGAAACAAGACGTATCCCGCACATAGACCACAGCAAGTGATTCGCGACACGAATATTTAACAATATGTGGAATCGTAGGCTAAGGGTTAATAGGATGGTCAACGACAGTCTGACGAGATTGATGGAATTACAAAGGAGGACAAATTTAACGACCACAGTGGAGAGACGCCAATTTCTCATACAGCTGTATCCTATCATAGAAAATTGGCATGGCCGAGATCCCGACCTACAACAATTGTTCCGAGCCGAAGAGATCGACGAGCTTCTCGTGTTGGATGTCTACGAAAACGAGTTATATCGCCGAAGTGTGTGTTTCGTCGATTTCGTGGCCGCTAACGACTACATGGTCGGCACCAGGCACGACGACAACGGCGTGCCGATTTTGCAGCGCACCACCCCGATCCATCGCGTGGCCAGACGCACCTCGTTCTGCCACACCTCGGGCCTGTACGCGATCTACCAGCCGCGGTACGGCGCGAACTACCGCGACGAGTCGGGCTTCACGCACTTCCACGCGGCCTGCAAGCTCGGCTTTCACCGGGTCGTGGACCAGTTCCTCGTCCACGCCGGGGTCGATCCCGACGAGCCGGTGACGGAGACGGGCGACACGCCGCTTCACCTGGCCATCAGGCACGAGCGCAGGGGCGTGTGCAGGCAGCTGCTGCGCGCCGGCGCCGATCCGAATCGGGCCAACGCGGCCGGCGAGACCCCGCTGCACTTGGCCTGCCGCAAGCCGGACGACGGCGCCTGGGCGAGGCTGCTGCTGTCCGAGAGCCAGCAGAGCGGAGGTCCGCGGCTGAGGATCGACGCGAGGGCCGTTCGACTGGCCGTGACGAGTCTCAAGTCCTTCGTACTCGATGCACTGCTGAAACTCGGCTTCGCCGACCGGGACGACTTCGTTTTCCCGGAGGCGCGGGAATTCGCCGATTGTTTCGCCGAGTCCCGAGCAGGAGACGACAGGTTCGCGGCGAGACTGGCCGCCGCCGCTCTGGGCCTGTACATAACTTTCCGGAATGACGGAGACCCCCGAGGAGTCGCCCTGACGATCTTGAGGGCTTTCGACGATCACGGACTGCTCGAGAGGTCGGCGGGAGCCGTGACGTCCTCGACGCGCCACGAGCTCAAGGAAGCGACGAGTCGGATAGAGAGAGTTCAGCAAGTGGAGCTGCAGGATCTGGTCGGGCTGCGACCCTCCGAGGTGATGAGGAAAGCCGTCACGTTCGCGCAATACCACAGGCTCGCGTACTCGAGCAACATTTGGATGCTGCCCGAGAGGCTCTGGGAGCCCTGCTCTCTCTATCTGTGCGAGATAATGATGATGCGGCTTTGCCGGTATTGGGCCCTGGAATCGTTTATCCGGATGACTCGGCACGAGTTGCCGCGCGTCTGCTGCAAAAAGATCTTGCACGATATGACCGCCCGGGATTTGTATTACATTTGCTTGGCAGCGGATTTGTAAACTTACGATTACTTTGGATATTTAATAGTATTATTACATATTATTTACGATTGGTATACATATGAACATATGTAATAAGTTTATTTCAATAAACCTCCGATAGCTCTGTAAACTTTCTTTGTTTAACAATGTGTTTTACGATCGAAATTAATAAACGAATAATCGAATTCAGTAATTTGCTGGCATTTCGAATTTATTTCTATTTTATTTACGAATAATCGTAAAAAAACTTTCACGTCTTTCAATTTTTTTTATAGCACAGCGATGAATTAATTGAATAAGTCAAATTAATTGAAATTAATTGAATAAGTTTGCAATACTTATGTTTAGTGCGCGATTTTTTGTGTTATATATAAGAACAATAACCATGCAACCATCATCTTTTCAATCTTTGTAATTTTTTATCTTGAAGTGAAATACTTGTCAAAAACATGCAACGAACAAAAAACTTTCCATACTATTCAATGGATGCGTGTGGCTTTATTCAGAGTATTCAGACTTTTTTACAGGATTATTCGAGTCATATTACGATAAGTTTGTTAATGATTTTGGTTTATCGACGCCTTTACGAGAAAAAAAACGAGTTTCATTTTCGTACTCGATGCATTAACTAAAGAACGTACAAGAGTACGTAGATCTCGAATATGTTTACTCGATCTTCGCTTTAATGACCTTGTAACGTTTTAGGTCAAAGGAAGGATAGTGTCGGGTGATTCTGTCTCTCTCGCGCTTGCCTGTGCCGACTGCCGCCGACTCTAGTTTCGCTCGAGCTGCTGTGCGTGTTCGTACTCGTGCGAGTTTTTCGACCGACCAGAGCGACGCCAACATTACGATTTCGAGACATATGCAAGGTCGTGGCGACTGGTGCGAGTCTATGGCCAGTACACGTTACGACACCGCAACGTTAACATCGAACAAAGGCTACATCATCTACAGTTACTGATTCTCGTGTAGAGTTCGAATATAAACTGTGATCAATACGTGCGGTAGTGTGTGAAAGTGCCGAACAATGTTGAAAAAATTAAAAACAATGCGGCAAGAGGTGAATTGGGAGGTCGATTGCGAACGACTAGAATTTCTTCGTCAACTTAATCCTTTGATCAAAAGTTGGCAGGGCCAACTTCCTAATCTCCTGGATATTTTTGCAAAGGAAGAAATCGAGTTTCTTCTCTCGGATTCCATAAGTAACTTTAATAGTAACAGCTCGAACGGGATAGGACAATGCTTCATCAGTTTCGTGGCTCGTACCGGCTACAAAGACAAGCCCGACGTCGGTCAAGACGGCAAACCAATTTTGCGTCGCACCACTGCAGTACATCATGCAGCTACGAAAGGATATGATGTCGGGCTTGACGTGATTCCTGAACTTTTTAAAATCTACGACAAATTTGACGTGAATTACACCGACGAGGATGGATTGACACATTTCCATGCGGCCTGCCAAATCGGCTTCGAAGACGTCGTTGAAAAATTTCTCAAGCACGGTCAGGATCCCAACCTCCTCCTGGAATCGACGGGTGAATCACCTCTGCACATGGCTCTGAAATGGGGCCAAAAAGAGGTAACGCGATTGCTGCTGAGATACGGCGCCGACCCGTCCTTGGCTGGCCAAGACGGTGTCACACCCCTCCATCTTGCAGCCAGTAGGAAGGATTACAGCGACGTGGCGAAGATGTTATTCGAGGTTGGCGAAAAGAAACATCGCCCGGTGAGAGTAAATGCTCGGGACAAGGAGGGCGACACACCTTTGCATTATGCGAGATCGAACTGCGTGAAGATGTTCGAGCTGCTGCTGAGGAGAGGCGCCGATATAAACGTAACCAACGAGAGGGGACGGACTGCTCTGCACGTCATTTGCAGCAGCGGCGAAAGAAGAAGAAGAAGAAGCAGCAGCGGCGATAACACCGACGTACTAGAGATGTTTTTTAAAATTACACAAGACAAGCATCAACCGGTGCAAGTCAATGCTCAGGACAATGAGGGGAACACACCGTTGCACTTAGCTGCAGAATTTGGTAAGGATAAGGCGATGGAATTACTGCTGAGAAACGGCGCAAATCCTAATGTACCCAACGCGAAGGGATTGACTCCTCTGCACATAATTAATGAAAACCGGAAAGTTTATTACATGCTTAAGCTATTCTTCGAAACCAATGACGATATTCAGCAGACGGTGCAAATTAATGCTCAGGACAATGAGGGTAACACACCATTGCATTTGGCTCTATTGAAATTGATTCGTATAAAGGCGGCAAAATTGTTGCTGAGGCGTGGGGCTAACCCAAATTTGGCCAATGCAGATGGATCAACAGCTATGCACTTGATTTGCCAGATAAAACACTGCTTTGATTACTACGGTGCTGACTGCGGTGACGATGACGACGAGGACGATTACGATGAAGACGATGACGACGTGATGGATGTACTTTTGAAGGTTAACGACGAAAAACATCAAACGGTGGATATCGACGCGAAGGACAAACAAGGTCGAACACCGCTTCACTGGGCCGTGGCGAATCATTTGCCGGAAGTGATAGATGTGCTCTTGGATCGTGGTGCTGATTTATCGAGCTTCATTTTCCCCGATTCGAGTTACTTTGGGGAGGACATTATGGAGATGGCAGGCTCTGCACCTTACGGTAATTCTCAATTGAGAGTAGCATCTGGTGCTCTGACCGTGGTCGAGCGCCTCGAGAAAAGAGGCTACGTGTTGGACCGAAACGATGCCTTAACAATCATGAAAAATTTTGATAAACACGAGAGTTTCGGTTTCCGAGAATCCGAACAATTTGACTATTATTGGTACGATGAGGAAGATTTCGCGAGTGAAGCAAAAATGAGAACGATCAAGCCGGATCTGTCCCTCCACGAGCTGATTCGGTTACGACCCGAAGAGGCGGCAAAACGAGTTACATGTTTAGACTATTTCGCGTTGACGCGTACATATAATTCTAATCTCCTTCCCGAAACGCGCGAAGGTTATAAATGTGCTGATCATCTGTGCGAGATGACGACGAAAAGATTTTACCGACGATATGCATTGGATTTTTTTTTGGATCTGATCCATTACCAATTGCCAATTCTTTGCTGCGAATTGATCATTGGTTATTTATATAACCAAGATTTGTGGAATATTTGCTTGGCAGCCACGGACAAAAGCTCATAATTTCTAATTTTAAACAGCACAATAATACTTAGCTGCAGCTCAAATAAGAATAAATATAAAAACTTAGTATGTAGCAAAATGTTTTAATTTTCATTTAATTAATATAAAAGTTATATTAAACTTTATTATGTTGCTAATGCTCTAGTAGACATCTGAAATGTTTTTGTTCAACAATTATTGTTACAATCGAAATAAATAAAACATTGAATTCATCAATTCATGTGAATTTACATTGTTTTGTGTTTTTATTATATTCCAGTTTTCATTTAAAAAAAAACTTATAAAAAGTTTCTTATATTTTAGCTGTTTTTTTTCTAACACCCATGAAGAAATCAATAAAAGTTTTTTTCCTTCCTTCTCGTGGCTAAGCAGAGGTTCTCATAACGCCCGAAAGAAAGTAACTAATAAGTTCACAGAACTTGTGTTTGACGCCCGATTACATATAATGTAAAAATTAAAGCTACGTACACATCTACTTGCAATAAATACAAAAAATTTTCCTATATCACGAAAACGAACTCAATGGTAATCCAAATCGTCGAGACACTGCCGGCCGTACTTGAACTCGAGCAGATCTCGACCTGCGTACAAAACCGCCAGCTGCTCGTCGGCGTCGAATTTCCTTCTTCTGCGCCTAATTCCACCTGCCGAGAGATCATCCGTGTCCCGGAGAATACCAGCGCCGACCTTGAGACCTTTCGGCCTCGTCTCTGCCGCCGCCGCCGACTCGCATCTGTACTCGTCGCGAAATCTGATGTGCTCGACCAGACGCTCGTACATATCGAGCGGACACGGATCCGAACAGTCGCGGATCTTCAGGGGCAACATCTGCTCCTCGGCGCCTGTCCACAGCAGCATCTGCGCGCGAAAATACAACGATAGTATCGTCATTTTTTTTATCTCGTCTCGACGCACTCACCCTTATGTAAATCCTGCCGCGTCTGTCCTTGAGCTTCTCCACGACGATGGCCGAGCCAAAGTCCGGAATGACCGGGACCTCGGTGAAATTGTGAGCCTCCTCGAACGTCACCAGATTGAAGTCGTGCGCGCTGTACAGGTAGATCTTTCGCTTCACGCTATCTTCCAGCTCGCTCTCGTGGATGTTGTCGAGGAGGCGATCGACGGTGGAACCGACCATGAATTTGGTCATGGTGCTGTTGCCCACCAGCGAGTCGAAGAGAATGCGCGACAGTTTACTGAGATTCTCGTAGCAGGTCGAGTCGCACCAAGCGGGCAACGGTAGGCCCATGCTCATCTGAGAAGGTGGAATTATGATTAATTTATCGTTCTTTTTATTGATGGGTGTGATGGTACTTACGGTCGATCGAACGTTGTTGTACAGGAGCAGCTGAAGGTAATTCTTCCACGCGATGTCGGCTCCGATTTCCGTCGCGAGATACTCGTTGAACTCATTGTACTCGTCCAAGCGCGCCCGAAACTCCGGGCTACGGATCATCTCCTTCTGCATATCGACTAAACTAAATACGAAAATTTAATTATTTAGCGTCGATTATTCAAGACTTCTTGCGCATCATCGTCGTCATCGTCTACACTCACTGTGGGCACTGAAAAGCCGACAGGAAATTCGTCTCGATCTTCGAGTAGCTGATCGGTATGGGAATCCAGTTGAGCTGATCGTTCCAGGCGGTCTTGTTGGTCGACGGATAGAGGCCGGCGAGCACGAGCAGCAGCGACGTCTTGGTGCGGCGCAGATCCGTGCTGTAGCCGTAGACGTCGTCGAAGTGATAGTCCCCGAGGAAAGCGTCGTAGCGCTCGCGCAGAACCCGGCCGATCTGATACTCGCGCTGGAAGCCGACCTGCGAACAAAAGAATTAACGAAATTTTACCCGCTGCCATGCAAGCTCAGAGATAAACTTGAAAATGAATTTAATTTTTCTTTTAATTTTCTTTTCCTTTTTAATAATTCGAAGAAAATTTTTCGAACGTTTGCCGTGATGATGAAAGAGGATAATGCAGAAAAGTATAGATCATAAGTAACGTAAGTATTTGTAGATCATTAAGAAATTTAAAGTCTTGAAAGTAATATTTAATTTTTTTGGAAATATTTAATTATTTTTGGCTCCGTTGAAGTGCCAAAGCTCTTTGTCAGTAACTGTTGAAATATTTTAAAATTAAATAAAATATGTGATATACTTTTCGTAAGGAAAGCTCGATTGTTACAAGTTTCAAAGCTTTTTTGTCGACCTCGGATCGTGTTCAATTTTTACGTGCTCGGAAATAAGTTGTGCAGTTGTCACGAGAAGCTTAAGAATAATTTCAGTTCCAAGGCAAGGATTTTCCGCTGTCATATAATAAGAAGCGAGTATTTGGGAAAAGGTTTTACTGATAAATAGAATGATTGGAAGACCTGTTAATACTTTATTTCGTGCACAAAACGTCAGAATAATGATTTAACAATCACAAACAAGTGAATAAAAGTTTGAAATATTTTATCATTTCAACAAAATTAAAGGATATTTATGTGAAAGATTTCTTATAAATTACAAAGCGTAATCATGTATTTGCCCAAGTCTTCATCGCACCCAGAAGTCTAGGAAGAGTCTCGAGCCCCTAAGGTTTGCTCCTATTATGTATTTTCTTTAAGTGATTGTTAAGATTACTTTTTTGACCAAATGATTTGTGACAAATCTCACATTCGAAGGATTTGCTACGATTATGTACTACATTTATGTGTCGATTGAGGTTACCCTTTTCTCCAAATGATTTGTGACAAATTTCACATTCGAAGGATTTGCTACGATTATGTACTACATTTATGTGTCGATTGAGAGTACTCTTTTCTCCAAATGATTTTTGACAAATCTCACATTCAAAAGGCTTGCTCTTATCATGTACTGTATTTATGTGTTTATTGAGATCGCTCTTTGCTCCAAATGATTTTGGACAGATCTCACATTTAAAAGATTTGCTCTTATAGTGTACATTCATGTGTTGATTGAGGTTACCCTTTTCTCCAAATGATTTGTGACAAATTTCACACTCGAAGGGTTTCTTACGATCATGTACTATTTTTATGTGCTTATTGAGATCACCCTTTGCTCTAAATGATTTGTGACAAATCTCACATTCAAAGGGTTTGCTCCGAATATGTACTGCACTTATGTGACGCTTGAGGTTACTTTTTAGTCCAAATGATTTCTGACAATTGTCACATTCAAAGGATTTGCGCTGATCATGTACTATTTTCATGTGTTTATTGAGATTACTTTTGCATCCAAATGATTTTTGACAAATCTCACATTCGAAAGGTTTGCTCTTATCATGTACGGTATTAATGTGGTTATTGAGGTTACCCTTTCGTCCGAATGATTTGTGACAAATTTCACATTCAAAGGGTTTGATATGATCATGTATGTGTCTTTTGATATCTGTGCGGTTTCCAAATGGTTTGTGACAAATCTCACATTCATGTGGTCTTATGTTCTGCGTCTTATCGATATGTGTTTTTAGATTTGCTTCTTCTTCATGAGCTTTTCGACACAAATTATTTCCGAATATTTTTACCTCCTCGGATTCGTCTAGATTCAATCGTGATTTTTCTTGTAATTGGCAATTATCATCGTAATTGACTTCTTTTTTTACTATAATCATTGGATTTTTTTCATCTAAGCTACTGGTCTGAGCTTGGTTTTCTATTTTCACAATAGGTAGATAACTTTGATCCTCGGTTTTGCAGTTGGTTACCAATTGAGACTTTAGTTCAGGTTTCACATCTTTGCATTCAAAAACAATGAATATCTTTTCATTCACGTCATTTGTCTGATTTTCGTTTTCTATTTTTACGATAGGTGGATGACTTTCATCTTCAGTTTTGCAGTTGGATGGAGACTTCAGTTCAAGTTTAACATTTTTGCACTCAAAATCGACTGATATTTTTTCATCCAACTTTTTCTGCAATGCCATAACCTCATTTTCACGATTCGCCTACAACAAAAATGTGTGTTATGATTTTTAATAATGGAAAAAGAGTATATCATTCGAATAATTAAACTCACTGATAGTTTATAAAACGTGAATGTTTGAAAGTTATCGGCTTTGAAAGACTCCCCCGAATCCAAAATATTATCGTCGCCTGCATCAGTCCAAGTATCGTTCGGCTCTTCCTTCACCCTGAAGATTATAATCGAGTTCGATAAAACGACCGCTTGAAAAAATATCATGGCAAGTACAAAAATTAAAAAATACCTTATTGGGTCCTCTCGGATTTCCATCACTGACTTAATTACACTCGTAATCACTGTGGATTTTCGCGATATACAATAATTGAGGTTAATTTAGGTAGAGATCTATACTCTTTTACGGATATTATTTGTAAACACTTGCTTACTGCGGGAATGTAGCAACTCGCTATGGCTAACTAATCGTGTATCCGTGTTTGTGGTAGCTCCTCACCGATATTTCCCCCTCCATCATCAGTTTGCCATGCATAGTTATGTACTGCGAATTGCGACACACATGAAAAGCACTCTCGGGTCATTGTAATGAAAACTTCATTCTTCTAGGCGCACAACTGGCTTACTATTGGGTGATACAATCACAGTTACGCCGATAATATCAATTAGTTTACTGATTATTTACAGCGAAAACAGCCTTTGTTCATTGAATTTATTAATAATTACTTGAGAATAGATGATCCATTCAAAAAATTCTCTGCTCAATATCGAGGAAAAAGGGCTAGCGAGCTTTTTTTACTGAATATTTTTTCAATTCTCAGAAAAAAACGTACTGCAAACATTGTAAGGACTTTGAAAACTCACTGACACAGAGAAAAATATAAGTTAAAATCTAATCGAGTTCGATCCGGATATTGATCATCAAAAAATTCACATAGCTATCTTAAAATAATCGATATTTTTTGTGTCAGAAAAAGAGTAACAGTCGGAAAATTGTTTGCACACACTCCAGGAGGAATCTCATTGCCAATGTATCGGCAACGAGCTTGTTGTTGTTTTTTTTTTTTTTTTTTTTTTAATGAAAATCAAAACTTACCTTTGTTAGCTCTCCGTAGCCGTGCTTCCGATGAATCTCGTCGTACGGATCGTTCTTGTAGATCTCCACCCTGTTGCAGGCACGATCTCCATGACGAAATATCTGCGGAGGATCGAATTGTGTAATCCAACTCCCAAGACTATATTCAAAATTTAAAAGCGCACTGTAAAAGACAAAATAAAGAAACTCACGACTTGCAACAGTTCCAATTTCAAGTCGTTCGCCCGGCGATACGCGTCGCACCGGAACAGCAAAAACGCCAAGAAAATCGTGCACAATCTCATCTCGAAGTCGTGCCCGTACGGGTCTACACTGCCTCGATTATTTTCCGACGCTTCGCTTTTTATTGTATAATCGAATGCAAAAATCGTAAATTCATCGTCGTATCTTTCCGACGCGGGGCCAAAATTCTCCGGATCGATATTCAATAAATATAAATAAATAACGTAGCAGCTGTTTCATCAAATTGTTATGCACAAATTAACGAACTGTCGTTGAACTTTAATCAATTGATTCGATTCGGATTTCACGGCATAATATTTATTCATCTCATTACTCGCAGGCTGTGTTCTAAAGATGCGATGCCGCCTATGTAGTTGTGATACCTGTAAGTTTTCCATGGGAGACAGGGGAATTTTTTTTCATACTGTATTCTCCGTTGAATCTCCGCTGAGTGTGTTCGCGCACTTGCGAGCCTATATAACACACGTATCCCCGCAATTGTGCAAACAAAAATCAGAGAAGCGAGGCGTAATTAAGATCGAACGCGATTGCAGCTGTATTATATATTTTGATGGGTTTTTTAGGAACTTTAGGAGGAAAGTCTGCAAAGGTATAATATAGGAGAATTCCACATATACGTAGACGAGTGCAAATCGATAAGGCCCGAAGATTACACGAAAAGAAAACATCCAATTTTTTTTTCTTCTTATACGATATAAAAAAAAATTTACTTCCATACGTACGAAAAAGATTACAACGACATGACTTAATATCTCTAACATAAACATTTGTATTTTATATATCTACATCCGATGCAGTAGTTTTTTGCTGCTGCGACGACGACGAAAAGTCAATACACACGTACAGTCACGTGCGTTATACCGACGATCTCGCGCAATTACATCATTCTAAATGCTCGGCTTCCGAGGGCAGAAGATGCTCCACCACCTTGGCGTAGTGCTCGACGGTGCACAGTGACCCGCAGCCGGGCAGCTTCATGGGTATCAGCTTCTCGCTCACTCCCGTCCAGTACATCAACTGCAACAATAAACATCGTCACAGGCACCATTGAATAATCTTTGAAATTTTCAACGCTGATTCGTACCTGCACGAATCTCTCGCCGGCCTCGTTTTTAAATTTCTTCACTATCACCGCGGCGCCGTACTCGGGCAGCGGCGCGACGCCGTCCAGCTCGTAGGCGTGCAGAAAGCCGGCGACGTTGATGTCGTGCGCGCTGTGCAGCACGATCTTGCGTTGGCTCCTGCCCTCGGTGTGCTCGCTCATCCTCGCGATGATCTCCTTGAGCATGGGGCCGCAGTTGAGCCTGAGGAGAAAGTCGTTGTGGAACATCATCTGGAAGGCGAGGATCGCCGCCTCGTGCAGCTCGTCCAGGGCCTCGGGGCTCATCCATCGGGGCAAGTCGCCGCCCATGCTCAGCTATTGCAAAACGATCGTAATATTCGTTAACGGATAAAGGTATATACGGATGTTTGGAGAGTCGTTGCTTAATATACCGAATTTCTGATTTTTCCGAAAACGATGAGAATCTCCAGGCGATTCTGGAAGCTCAGCTTGGTATTGTCTTTCAACAGAGCGATGAGTCGTTCGAACTTGCTCCATTTCTTTTTAACCTCCGGCCTCGAATTGACTCTCTCGATTTCTTTCTGAAAGCTGACGACAAAAGCATGAATCTCAGAATATAATAAACGGATAAAATTATCCGCCTTACTGTATGCTGCTGAACGGCATCATGAGGTAGTTGCGCGGCTCGCTCGAGTAGTGGGTGGGTATGGGCCGCCAGGGCAGCGAGTCGTTCCATCGGGACGTCTCGGTGGGCGGATAGAGGCCCGCCAGCACGAGATCCAGCGACGTCTTGGCCCGGTCGGTGTTGCTGCTGAAGGCCCACACGTGCTCGGGCTTGTAGTCCTGCAGGAAGGAGTTGTAGCGCTTGCGCAGCATCTGGCCGAGCTTGTACACCGTTCGCATTCCGTTCTATATACAAAATTTATAATATTAAAAAAAATTGATGACAACCCAATGAAAAAAAGTTTGTGGCAAGAGTCTAGCTTATGAGCCTGAACGAGATTTTCCCCCCATTTTGTTTATCCTTATCTTCCCCCCCCNCCCCCCCCCCCCCCCCCCATTATCTTATATCCTTAAATGATCTTAAAAAGTCGTCGGATTTCTTAATAGTTTTTGGCCTGGTGCACTTTCTTTTATACTCAAATAAAAAACATTAAATTTTACAAAATATTGGAAAATCTCTTTTAAGCTCATAAGCTACTTTTGCCAAAAAAATTGTTTTTTTTTTTTTAATGGGAACGAAGGAGGTCTGTGGAGGCTACTTACGGGGGTGAGCTGCGCGTAGCCGTACGGCTCATACAAGTGCTTGTCCGAGTCATCGATACTGGCCTCCATCTCGTTCGGCGTCCGGTCCCCATGACGAAACAGCTTAAATACAAACAAAAACATCGTATTTTTCACGCACGCTACCGTCTAATATCGATCGAAAATCTTTTCTATGTGTACTCACGACTTGCACCAGTTCGAGGCTCAAATTGCTCTTGCACTCCATTCCTCGAGCCGCGAGAGCTGCAAGAATCATTGTTGCGAAAATTAAGCGACACATTTTTATCGAGAGTATCGAAAAAAACTTTAAACTCTGTCTCTCTCTGTTTTCTCAATTAAACGGCATAATATTTTAATTAATAATAAAGAATCTCTTAATAATAATAGTAATGTGCTGAAAAGCAGCCACAGCAGATAAAGAATAATTTTAAACGCGAGCTGCCGAACGGAACGAGCCGACGTTCATTTTAATACTATGTGTGCTAGCCCTGCCAACGCCGCCGCTGCTTGACCACACGATAATTCGACGATCAATTTTATTTTTTATTTATATTATTTATTTTTTATCTCGGCATACGTATGTAAGAGAAATTTGCGTAGCGAGAGAGAGAGAGGCACGCGAGCGAATTTCGTATATAGCTCAACCCTACATCGATAAATAAACTTTTTATCTCCTGGCTATATACATGTATATATTCGAGACTCGTTAAACAGTACGCGTCATCGTTCGCGGGCGAGCGTGACCTTGATAACGCCGATGAAATTTCGTTCAATTTGTATCATTGGCAAAAAAATCACACGAGCTTTAAGGCACTGATTAATTAATTAATATTAATTATCAATTATTCGATTATTAATTATTTTACGAATGAGATGAAATGCAGGGAGATTATTGAACGTTTAATACATTGTGCTCTGATCTTGCGAAAAATGATGGTTTTTTTTCTAATTTTATCACAGTAATTATTTCATGGGAAATAGATGAATAAATATAGTTTACGATTGTTTCGATACACTCTACATTCTTCGTTCGACTTACAATTTATGTATTGCGCCGTAGTCCGCCAATTCGTTTACTCATATGGCTTGCAAAGCCAAGTGTCTTGTCACGCTAAATCTAACATTTGTACAATGAAATTTCATACCTAAATAATTTTCTATGCATGCGAAAAATTTTCGGTCTCGTTATCATGAACTACCTTCGTGTGATTAATAAAATCTCTTTTATCGTAAGAAACTGTTTTCGAATTTTTGACGTGTGGACTATTCGAATTTTAAATTAACTGCATCCACGTGTTTCGTTAAATAATTGTTTCGAGCAAAAAACCTAACACACTCTTCATACTTGTGATTGTTGATATTTAAATGAATCGTATCTATGTGCTTCATTAAATTACTCTTATGTCCAAAAGACTTTCCACACTCTTCGCACTTGTGTTCTTTGAGTTTTAAATGAACTACATCAATGTGCTTCATCAAATGATATTTTTGTCCAAAAGACTTGCCACATTCTTTACACTCGTGAGCTCTGAGTTTCAAGTGCACTACATCTATGTGCCTCATTAGATTAGAATTGAGCCCGAAAAACATGCCACACTCCTCACATTTATGATCTTTCATTTCTTTATGAACTGTTGCTATGTGTCTTTTGAAAACAACTTTGGTACCAAAAGATTTTCCACACTCCTCACATGTGTGCTCTTTGATTTTCAAATGAACTGCATCTATGTGCCTCATCAGATTTTCCTTTTTTCCAAAAGATTTGCCACACTCTTTGCATTTTTGATCTTTGATTTTTACATGGACTGCGGCTGTGTGCTCGTTCAAACTTTTTTTATCAAAGAAAGATTTCTCACACTCTTCACACATGTAAGCTTTGATTTTCAAATGAACTCCATCTATGTGCCTCGTCAGAATCCACTTCTTTCCAAAAGACTTGCCACACTCTAAGCATTCGTGATTTTTCATTTTTCGTTGATGTAAATTAATGTAGATATTTAAAATGTTTTTGTACTTATATAAAATTATAAAAATATGTTGTCAAGGATATTATTGCTGCAAATCAATTGAATTTCCTGATCTGCGTTTAACAGAATATTTTGCTATAAAAAATTTTCAAGTATACTTGACAATGCTCTCATCAACTAAACAGTTTAACTATATAATTAACTACACTATTTTGTGTACTGCTAATAAAACTGTACTTTCTATGTATGCACGAATCACGAACACACGAATAAGAAAATTATTTAACTAGAAAGATTTATTAGAAATTTATTGAGCAACATCAAATTTTGAACGTTTTTGTGTATATAAACTAAATATGACTAATATTGAGATGAATGACAATATTAAAAGTGTGAGTGTTGATAAATTTGAATTCATACTCAGAATTAACCAAGTCTTGTTTATATCAAGAAATTTGATTGTCGACCTTGCTCGAAGCTACGTGACTATTTTTATATATATTGTACCGATCGACAAAACGCTGCAGCACGAAAATAAAATGAAAATGACGATGGAGTAATTTCTCCAATGCGAATCTACTGTCACGTATCAGCGCTGATTAAAATAGGCTACTTTACAGTCTAATAAATGCTTCAATCTAGCGGTGTCGAACGAAAAATTGGAAATTTTCAGAGATTTTTTTTATAATGTTTACTCACAGTTTTTTATTATGAAATACCGGTGGACTGGAGTCGCAGCGAGAAACAGAACAGGAGACGAGCGTTTTCTACGAAGGTCGCGAGCGAACAGAAGAGAGCCGATCGAGGATTGTTTGCTTTCTTCTAGAATTTCGTAAACTCTGAGATAGACGAGTTCGGCAAAACGATGTTTTGTAACGACAAATTCAAATCCAGTTTCATCGGTATACGTTTTTAGAATCGACTTTGAACTTGTAACGGTCGTGCGCGCGACTTACGATAATAATATGATATAAAATGTCTTTTTAATGCAATATAGACGAAGCCAAAAAAATTCTTGTTTATTTAATTCTAGTGAAGGATATATTAATTTATTGTATGTTCCATTTTTGACATAATAGTATTTATTTATTAAATAATGAAAATAAGAACAATGAAAGACACTGTTGTCATAATTTTGAGAAATAAAAATGCAGTAGCTAACCCTGATAAAATTAGCTTACTTTGAACATTTTCAAAAAGTATGAGTCAATACAAAAAAATTTATAACCGAATACATAATCGAACGTCCACGGACTACATTGGTACTTTTTTGTGTTATTCGAGTCGCTGCGAATCCGAATCCTTTTTTTCAATATGTTTACAAATTAATTACAAATGTATTCTTTTAGTGTCAAATGTACTACAACTGTGGGCTGCATCTAATTAGTTTTCGTTCCAAAAAACTTGCTGCCGTGTTTGCAAGTGTATACATTGATTCGTTCCACAATTTTTCCACTGGTGGGCTTTGATTTTTTCAGATACTATTGTAACATGATTATTCAAGTCAATTTTGAAAACTAAAAGCTTAGCACTTATGATTTCTGATTTTTAAATGAACTGCGTCTATGTGTCTAATCAGATTGCTCATTAATCCAAAAGACTTGCCACACTCATTGAATTTGTGATCTTTGATTTTTTCTATGAAATTGTGGCAATGTGACTGTCCAAGACGCCTTTATAACCGAAAGATTTTCCACACTCTTCGCCATTGTGATCTTTTATTGTCAAATGAACACTGTCTATGTACCTTATCAGATTATATTTTATCCCAAAGGACTTATCCACACTCAAAGCCTTAGTATTCTTGAATTTTTTCATGAACTCCCTTCGTGTGATTAATGAAATCTCTTTTATCTTATCTATGTGAATCGTACCTATGTGATGCATTAAATTACTCTTATCTACAAAAGATTGGACTCTTCACACTTGTGTTCTTTGAGTTTTTAATTAACTATATCAATGTGCTTCATTAAGTTATCTTTACGCTCAAAAGTCTTGCCACATTCTTTACACTCGTGAGCTATGAGTTTCAAGTGCACCTCATTTATGTGCTGCAACAGATTACTCTTGAATCCAAAAGACTTCCCCCATTCCTCGCACACGTGATCTTTAATTTGCAAATGAATACTATTTATGTGTTTCATAAGATGAGCCAATTGTCCAAAAAGTTTACCACACATTTCGCATCTGTAACCTTTGATTTTTTTTTTGACAATTGCAACATGTTTATTCAAGTAATTTTTGTATCAAAACGATTTTCCACATACTTCGCATATGTGTTCTCCGAGTTCCAAATGAACTGTGTCTATGTGTTGCATCAGATCCAACTTTTCTCCAAAAGACTTGCCACACTCTTGGCATTGATGATTTTTGAGATTCAAATAAACTGGATCTATATGCCTCATCAGATATTTTTTTAGTCCAAAATACTTGTCATACTCTTCGCATTTGTGGTCTTTGCTTTCTTTATGTTGCATATTTTGAAACAAATAAAAGTCATTACATTAAATGGAAAAATCTAACGTCCGCAGATTACATTGGTATATTTTTATGTTATTTCGAGACACTGGGTTTTGAATGTGGGTGAGGTTTTTAGTGATCTCAAAACTTTTGAATAAGAATTAACGAGGATTAAAATATTCAGTGTCAATAAGAGTGATTGATTCTCGCAATTGTATCATTACTGTTCGGGACTAGCCATTTTTGAGCCGTTTTTTCTTCATTATCTGCCTTTGATGGAAGGGGCTCAAGTGTTTCTTCAAATCCACATTCCGATTAAATGGTCTTCCACACTCATTCCCCTCTTTACTCTTGACCGTGAACTTCTCTCATGTGTTTATATAATTTCGATTTATAATCACAAAATTGTCTACATTCTGCACACGTTTGTCCTTCAACGTCAACCAAGTGTCGCATCAGATCATCCTTTATAGGAAAAAAGAAATCACAGTGTTCCGGGCAAATATATGCTTGGAGTTTCGAATGAACCTCATCCAAGTGTTTCTTCAGAGCGTCCACGTAATTAAATAACTCGCCACACTCCTCGCATTCCTGACCAAGGTTTTTTCCGTGTTTTTTTGCAAGGTGGTTATTCAAGATTGTTTTGAACCAGAACTTATCTTCACAATTCTCACACTGGTGCTTTTCGATGGTTCGATGTTTGCTCATAATGTGAACAGCCCGTAATAGGTCGCTTTTAAATTCCTCTATACAATCATTCGACTCTTCACACGCAAATATTTTAAAATGAACCTCTTCGAGATGATCTTCCTTTTCTTTTTTAATTAAAAAAACTTTATGACCACTTTCGCATGTATACCCTTCTGAATCTACCATTGTAAAAATCTATCGACTTTACGCTTTAAAATTATACCGTCTATTGATCAGTATTACTCTTTCACTTCTACTGTTGTCCTTTCAAATCTCATGTATACTTGGAACTCATAACTCCCGTGACAGTTGAAATTTTGTTTAATTAATCGTTGAAATTTATCGAGTCATCGTGTCAAGCGAATCGATTTGAATTTATTTGAACTTTATTTTTGGCGCTAGTGAAATTCATAATTTGGGCATTTTTTCGGAGCTGGTTTTTTCGTGCAATAATAATTTTTAAAAAAGACTACGTTATATCCCAAAAGACTTGGAACGCTTCACGCTTGGAACATTTGTAATTTTAAATTATTTCATGAATTGAGACAATGTATTGATTCAAGCTTCTTTTGTAACCAAAATCCTTCCCACACGTGTTACACGTAAAATTTTTGATTTTTTGATGGACATTCATAACGTGATCCTTCAAATGTTGATTTGTGACAAAAGACCATCCACAATTGTAGCAAAAAAATTTCTTCAGTTTCAAATGAACTTCATCTTGGTGATTGTCCAAGTTTCTCTTCGTTTGAAAAATCCTACCGCAATCGTTGCACTTGTGACGTACATTGACATTTTTATTTTCAAATCTATGCTCATCCAAAGTTGTCATTGTAATAAATCTTGACTTTTAAGTTTTAAATGTATAATACTTACCGATACTACTATTTCTCTGCTTTTGTTATGTCAGAATTCAGGTATTCTTAGAACCGTTACGTTCGGCTATTGAATTTTTATTTAGATTGGAATTATTTTATCGAGTTTTTACGCAACAAAAGTTAATTGTATTTATATCAAACATTCAAAATACTTTCACAATTAATTTTAAATTATTTTTTTAATTGATTTTCTCCATTTCATTCCTTATCTTTCATTCCACGTTTGGATTTCTGGATAACACTATTTTTTCAAGTTTTCGGGAGTCAAATTTATGATCGCCATTTTGAATTTCGTAATAATAACTGTTTTACAATAAAGTATACAAGCCATTGACCAAATTTATATGCGTGAGACGCCCGAGCGAACCTTTTTTCCGTGTTGAAATTTGAGTTAAACGAGATTTTTTTTTCAAAATTTCATGTTTTTTTTTTACAAAATTGTTTATAACTTTTTATTTAATAATTTTTTTAAATTCTGACCCCGGGTTCGAAAAGTACATCAAATTTTACGAGAGAAATGATGCCTGAAAAGTTTTTTAAACAATTTCTAGTCGGTGTAATTCATCGCTATAAGTGTTGTCCAAAAATGGTCATTTCAGGCGTTAAAGGGTTAAATTTGTCCTAATCCGTTTAGACAAGAAATCCTTATAAAATTTGAATTCTGACATGTAATGAACACACAATTTAGAAATCAATAGATAGCAGTCTTAGAACGGCTGTTAGTAGTGAATTTTGAACTATAAAGCACAAGAAAATCAATTTTCAAGGATATTAATAAATCAAAAAGTTACTTATGCATTTATATATCATGATCAAAATTTTGATTTTTACATAATTAAAAAAAAAAAAAACGTAAAACTTAATTTCATTGTTGATATAGGTTCTATTTTTTATTCTGTAGTATTTATTTACAAAATAAAATTTGTAATATTGAAGAAATTGGCATATAGCAATATCCCAGTAAGGATTGTTGTATCATGAGTGTTTGGAAAAAAATATGAAACAATACAAAGAAAATATGAGCAAAATAAATTAGTTTAGCATTCACGAACGGCAATGGGATACATTTTTTCCATTAGATCACGGGGTCTTAATTTTCCTGATTTTAAAACTTTTCAATTAGTAGTCAAAGGAGTTACAACACTTATCATCGAAACAAGCACACCATTCTCGCGCATCTTCCATTGCTTGTCATTAAATTAAATATGTCACTGGGTTTTCATCCGAAGTTGCCGTCAAGTTTTTATTTCGATCTCTTAGTTTCTTTATGGTTTTCCCTCACGTGTGTAGATAATTTAGATTTCTTGTCAAAAACCCTTTCACATTCTTTGCATCGGTACTTTGGGTTAGCCACTTCCGCACAGTGCTGCTTCAAAGCATCCTTCGTTGCAAAAAACTTCCTACAGTGTTTCTGGCAAATGTATTCTTGGACACTCGAATGCTGCTTTTCCAAGTGCCTCTTCAAATTATCTGTTGATATAAATCTCGTATTGCACTCTTCGCATTTATATTTCAATCTCTGATCCCGGGCAATATGCGTTTTAACGTGCTTCGCCAAATAACTCTGGTATACAAAACACTTTTGACACTTTTCGCATTTGAATTTTTTTTCTTTTGTATGCATAGCGGTAGTGTGATCATGCAAGTTTTTTTTGCTACTGAAAGTTTTTTTACATTCGACGCATTCGTAACTTTTTATTTTTAAATGCACGACATCTTTGTGCTTTTTCAAGTCATCTATTGTGTTGAAATTCTTGTCGCAATATTCGCATGTAAGATTTATGATTATTTCATGAACCGTCGCGTGGTTGTTGGACAAGACATTTTTGGGAAGATGGGCTTCTATGTGGTCCTTGTTCGTGCAATTTTTCATCGTTAGGTGGACTTTCGTTATATGAACAACCCAATCTAGTTCTTTATAGAAATCCTTTCCACACTCATCACACGTCCGTATATCGAAATGAACTAATTTTAAGTGTTTTTCCATTTCTGTTGCACTTGAAAAATTTCGATGACAACCTAACCGACAAGTTAATGTACCTGAATGAATTTCTAAGTGATATCCCAGTTCTCTCTCACTTGAAAAGACTTGACGACAACTTTTGCATGGATACCCTTCTGAATCTGCCATTGTAAAAATCTCTCGACTTTACGCTTTAAAATTATACCGTCTATCGATCCGTACTACTCTTTTTCTACTGTTGTCCTTTCAAATCTCATGAATACCTCGAGCTCATACGTTTGGCGGCCCTTGAAATTTTGTTTACAACGTAACAAATTGAACGAGTCATCGTGTCAAGCGAATCGATTTGAATTTATTTGAACTTAATTTTTGACGCTAGTAAAATTCGTAATTTAGGCATTTTTTTGGAGTCGGTTTTTTCATGCAATCATAATTTTCAAGTAAAAAGTAAAGAATGGCATCTTTGACACAGTAGCTTATGGATTGTGTGTTGTGCTTCTTAAGTTTTTCTATAATGCCACTCTTGTCTTCTAATCTTTGCTTTTCCAAAGCTGACATAGTGAAATTTCCTCGACTTTTCACTTCAAAATCCATCTACCTATAGTACTATTCCGCGACTGTAGTCCTTGCTTCTAATCTCTGAAATTTTATTTATCGAATGGAATTTATGTTAATTAATCAAAAAAATTTCGCTATAAATTAAAAATCATTTTCTCAATTTCTTTATTTCGTTCTTCGTTTTTTTAGCCAAGCTATAAAGCATTCCGGTCTGCTTGTCCGAGCAATCCTTCCAAACTGTGCACTCCCGATCCAACGCGTCCGGCAGAACGTTCTCCACCAGTCTTGCGTACTTCTCCAACGGACAGAATTGACCACAGCTCGGAATCGTCAGGGTGATCAGCTCTTCCGACGGACCCGTCCAATACAGCATCTATGAAAAAAAAAAGTAATAATAATAATCACATTCATTTCACTCATGAAGATATCGCCGAACTACGTATATAAACGATTTTTTTTCTACCTTCACGAACGACTCGTTTCGCGAATTGCTGTACTTCTCCACGACGACGGCCGAGGTGAAATCCGCCAGCGGCGGCGCCGTCGTGATCCGGTGCGCCCTCAGAATGTGCGCCACGTTCACGTCGTGCGCGCTGTACAAAAATATCTTTCTCTCCTTGTCGTTGCCCAGCATGTTGCTCAGCATCTTCTCTATCGTCGGGCCGGCCGTCATTCTCACCAAGGACGGCGTGTGTATCATCGCGTGATAAGTTATGTTGGTCAGCTCCTCCAGCGAATCGATCACCGGTGCAGACCATTCGGGCAAGGGCAGTCCCATGCTCATCTGTAATCGACGTTAACGATGACGATGACATCGAGATCGAGTTGCTCTTGAAATTATATACTCACGATGGCTTTGAGGTGATTGTGCAGGAAGAACATAGACATCAGTGGCTTTTTCCAATTGGCGTCGGTTTTATTCTTCACGTAATTAAACTCGCGCTCGTACTTCTTGTAATGCGCCTTTAATTCGGGCGAATTCAACGCCTCGTCGAAGTGTCGATCGAATCTACACAGGAATTTAAAAAGTCGTTGTACAATAATTTCAAGCAAAATAAATACATTGACAAAGAGCTTCCTCATAAAATAATTATTGCTCTTCGATAACACTGATTTTTGCTGCTCTTCTTTTAAAATCACTATTCATATGTTTCAACCACTTACACCACTTGATCTTTAAATGAACTGTATCAATGAGCCTCATCAGATATTTTTGTAGTCTAAAAGACTTGCCACTTCGAAGCATTCGTGGTTTTTCATTTTTCATTGAGATAGATTAATGATGATATTTAAAAAGCTATGATACTTAACAGTTTGAAAAAAAAATTGTCAAGGATATTATAGAGACAAATCAGTTTAATTCCTGATGGTTCAAAGAAAGATTTTTTTTCAAATTTTCTACAAATTTGAGTTATACTTGAAACAGCTTTGAGCAAGTAAAGAGTTTATTTATTTTAATATATTCGTATGTGTATTGTTCAAAAAACTATATTTTTAATGTATGCACCAATGATGAACACATGAATACGAAAATTATTTGACTTGGAAAAATTATTCTAGATTTGAATAATGTAGTTTGAGTAATATCGAATTTTGAATATTTCTTCTGTTTATAAGCTAAACATAACTGATATCGAAGAGAAGAGAAGTGAAAGTATTGAAATTGTGTATACTAATGAATTTAAACTCATACGCCATCCTTCTAAAGTCTTGTTTACGTTAGAACCATGACCCAATATGATATTGAAAAATTTGAATTACGGCCTTGGTCGAGGCTACGTGACTATTTTTTTGTACATCGTGCCGATTGACAAAACCTCGTAGCTTTGGCAGGGACCTCCGATTGCTGCACCATGAAAATAATATGAAAATGACGAAAGTATAATTTCTTTGAAGCGAAGTTGCGGATATTTTTTTGCATATCGGCAGACATTAAAATGGACTGGTGGTAGGTTACAATCAAGTGAAAAAGTAAACCGTGCAAAGTCGAGCGAAAAACTGAACTTTTTAAAATTATAATCAAATACAAGTTAATGTTATTTTATATTTGGTAAATACGACGTTTACAATAGTAGTTCTTTTCTATAAAATATCGAACATGAGATCAAAAATAGACATTGTTATTATAATTTACAGAAATAAAAATACACTCGGCAACAAAATTATCGCAACAAAAAAATTCATCGAAATTTCGTCGATTTTCAAATGCTTCTATCTTGGGCTAGATTTATCGTATCGACACGCTTTTTTTTAATTTCTTGGAAATTTTGTCCTCTTTAAATCCATATAAATTAAGATAAGATTCAAGTTAATGTTGAGTTACCAGTAGTATTTGAGCGCGACACTAAAAATTACTGAAAAAAAATGACTGTTTGAACGTGTACCAGTACCACAGTGATTTTTTTATCGAAATCTAACATACACCATCGCAAAGTGCTCTTTTTAACGAGTAATTTAAAAAAAAAAGACCTCTCTACGATTTTTTTAACACCCTGTAGGTCGATTTGAAGATACCATTTAAAGTACGTAAAATCCCCCGTTTAGCTGAAATCAAGACGATTTTCTGGGCATTTTGCGTACATAAACCGTACCTTTAAATCGACCTACAGGCCGTTAAAAAAATCGTAGAGAGGTCCTTTTTTTTTAAATTACTCATTGAAAAGAGCACTTTGCGATGGTGTATGTTAAATTTCGATAGGAAAATTACTGTGTACTGGTACACGTTCAAACAGTCATTTTTTTTCAGCAATTTTTAGTGTCGCGCTCAAATGCTACTGGTAACTCAACATTAACTCGAATCTTATCTTATTTTATATGGATTTAAAGAAGACAAAATTTCCAAGAAATTAAAAAAAACTCGTCGATACGATAAATCTAGCCCAAGATAGAGCATTTGAAAATCGACGAAATTTAGATGAATTTTTTTGTTGCGATAATTTTGTTACCGAGTGTATTATAACTAATCCTAAAATTAAATTTATGTTGCATATTTTGAAACAAATAAAAGTCATTACATTAAATGGAAAAATCTAACGTCCGCAGATTACATTGGTATATTTTTATGTTATTTTGAGACACTGGATTTTGAATGTGGATGAGTTTTTTAATGATCTCAAAACTTTTGAATAAAAATTAACGAGGATTAAAATATTCAGTGTCAATAAGAGTGATTGATTCTTGCAATTGTATCATTACTGTTCGGGACTAGCCATTTTTGAGCCTTTTTTTCTTCATAGTCTGCCTTTGATGGAAGGGGCTAAAGTGTTTCTTCAAATCCACATTCCGATTAAATGGTCTTCCGCACTCGTTACCCTTTTTACTCTTGACCGTGAACTGCTTTCATGTGTGTATATAATTTCGTTTTACAATCACAAAATTGTCTACATTCTTGACACGTCACTTTTTCAACTTCAACCAAGTGTCGCATCAGATCATCCTTTATCGGGAAAAATAAACCACAGTGTTCCGGGCAAATGTATGCTTGGAGTTTCGAATGAACCTTATTCAAGTGTTTCTTCAGATCGTCCACGTAATTAAATAACTTGCCACACTCCTCGCATTCCGGACTTAGGATTTTTCCATGTTTTTGTGCAAGGTGTTCATTCAACACTGTTTTGAACCAGAACTTATCTTCACAATTCTCACACTTGTGCTTTTCGATGGTTCGATGTTTGTCCATAATGTGGATAGCCCGTAATAGGTCGCTTCTAAATTCAGCTATACAATTATCTGACTCTTCACAAGCAAATATTTTCAAATGAACCTCTTCGAAGTGATCTTCCTTTTCTTTTTTAATTAAAAAAACTTGATGACAACCTTCGCATGTATACCCTTCTGAATCTGCCATTGTAAAAATCTCTCGACTTTACGCTTTAAAATTATACCGTCTATTGATCAGTACTACTCTTTCTCTTCTACTGTTGTCCTTTCAAATCTCATGTATACTTAGAACTCATAACGCCCGTGACAGTTGAAATTTTGTTTAATTAATCGTTGAAATTTATCGAGTCATCGTGTCAAGCGAATCGATTTGAATTTATTTGAACTTAATTTTTGGCGCTAGTGAAATTCATAATTTGGGCATTTTTTCGGAGCTCGTTTTTTCGTGCAATAATAATGTTTAAAAAAGACTACGTTATATCCCAAAAGACTTTTCACGCTTGGAACATTTGTAATTTTAAATTATTTCATGAATTGAGACAATGTATTGATTCAAGCTGTTTTTGCAACCAAAATCCTTCCCACACGTGTTACACGTAAAATTTTTGATTTTTTGATGGACATTCATAACGTGATCCTTCAAATGTTGTTTTGTGACAAAAGACCATCCACAATTGTAGCAAAAAAATTTCTTCAGTTTCAAATGAACTTCATCTTGGTGATTGTCCAAGTTTCTCTTCGTTTGAAAAATCCTACCGCAATCGTTGCACTTGTGACGTACATTGACATTTTTATTTTCAAATCTATGCTCATCCAAAGTTGTCATTGTAATAAATCTTGACTTTTAAGTTTTAAATGTATAATACTTACCGATACTACTATTTCTCTGCTTTTGTTATGTCAGAAATTCAGGTATTCTTAGAACCGTTACGTTCGGCCATTGAATTTTTATTTAGATTGGAATTATTTTATCGAGTTTTTACGCAACAAAAGTTAATTGTATTTATATTGAATATTCAAAATACTTTTACAATAAATTTTAAATTATTTTTTCAATTGATTTTCTCCATTTCATTCCTTATCTTTCATTCCACGTTAAATTTGTCCTAATCCGTTTAGACAAGAAATTCTTATAAAATTTGAATTCTGACATGTAATGAACATACAATTTAGAAATCAATAGATAGCAGTCTTAGAACGGCTGTTAGTAGTGAATTTTGAACTATAATGCACAAGAAAATCAATTTTCAAGGATATTAATAAATCAAAAAGTTACTTATGTATTTATAGATCATGATCAAAATTTTGGTTTTCACACAATTTAAAAAAAAACGTAAAACGTAATTTCATTGTTGATATAGGTTCTATTTTTTATTCTGTATATTTATATACAAAATAAAATTTGTAATATTAAAGAAATTGACATATAGCAATATCCCAGTAAGGATTGTTATATCGTGAGTGTTTGAAAAAAAATATGAGCAAAATAAATTAGTTTAGCAATCACGAACTGCAATGGGATACATTTTTTCCATTAGATCACGGGGTCTTAATTTTCCTGATTTTAAAACTTTTCAATTAGTAGTCAAAGGAGTTACAACACCTATCATCGAAACAAGCACATCATTCTCGCGCATCTTCCATTGCTTGTCATTAAATTAAATATGTCACTGGGTTTTCATCCGAAGTTGCCGTCAAGTTTTTATTTCGATCTCTTTGTTTTTTTATGGTTTTCCCTCACGTGTGTAGATAATTTAGATTTCTTGTCAAAAACCCTTTCACATTCTTTGCATCGGTACTTTGGGTTAGCCACTTCCGCACAGTGCTGCATCAAAGCATCCTTCGTTGCAAAAAACTTCCTACAGTGTTTCTGGCAAATGTATTCTTGGACTTTCGAATGCTGCTTTCCCAAGTGCCTCTTCAAATTATCTACTGATATAAATTTCGTATTGCACTCTTCGCATTTATATTTCAATCTTTGATTCCATGCAATGTGCTTTTCAGCGTGCTTCGCCAAATAACTCTGGTATACAAAACACTTTTGACACTTTTCGCATTTGAATTTTTTTTCTTTTGTATGCATAGCGGTAGTGTGAGCACGCAAGTATTTTTCACTACTGAAAGTTTTTTTACATTTGACGCAATCGTAACTTTTTTCTTTTAAATGCACGACATCTTTGTGCCTTTTCAAGTCATCTATTGTGTTGAAATTCTTGTCGCAATATTCGCACGCAAGATTTATGATTATTTCATTAACCGTCGCGTGGTTGTTGGACAAGACATTTTTGGGAAGATAGGCTTCTATGTGGTCCTTGTTCGGGTAATTTTTCATCGTTAGATGGACTTTCCTTGTGTGAACAACCCAATCTAGCTCTTTATAGAAATCCTTTCCACACCCATCACACGTCCATATATCGAAATGAACTAATTTTAAGTGTTTTTCCATTTCTGTTGCACTTGAAAAATTTCGATGACAACCTAACCGACAAGTTAATGTACCTGAATGAATTTCTAAGTGACATCCCAGTTCTCTCTCACTTGAAAAGACTCGAGGACAACTTTTGCATGGATACTTTCTTGAATCTGCCATTCTAAAAATCTCACGACTTTACGCTATAAAATTATACCGTCTATCGATCCGTACTACTCTTTCTCTACTGTTGTCCTTTCAAATCTCATGAATACCTCGAGCTCATACGTTTGCCAGCCGTTGAAATTTTGTTTACAACGGAACAAATTGAACGAGTCATCGTGTCAAGCGAATGGATTGGAATTTATTTGAACTTAATTTTTGGCGCTAGTAAAATCCGTAATTTAGGCATTTTTTTGGAGTCGGTTTTTTCATGCAATCATAATTTTCAAGTAAAAAGTAAAGAATGGCATCTTTGACACAGTAGCTTATGGATTGTGTGTTGTGCTTCTTAAGTTTTTCTATAATGCCACTCTTGTCTTCTAATCTTTGCTTTTCCAAAGCTGACATAGTGAAATTTCCTCGACTTTTCACTTCAAAATCTATCTACCTATAGTACTATTCCGCGACTGTAGTCCTTGCTTCTAATCTCTGAAATTTTATTTATCGAATGGAATTTATGTTAATTAATCAAAAAAATTTCGCTATAAATTAAAAATCATTTTCTCAATTTCTTTATTTCGTTCTTCGTTTTTTTAGCCAAGCTATAAAGCATTCCGGTCTGCTTGTCCGAGCAATCCTTCCAAACGGTGCACTCCCGATCCAACGCGTCCGGCAGAACGTTCTCCACCAGTCTTGCGTACTTCTCCAACGGACAGAATTGACCACAGCTCGGAATCGTCAGGGTGATCAGCTCTTCCGACGGGCCCGTCCAATACAGCATCTATGAAAAAAAAAGTAATAATAATAATCACATCCATTTTACTCATGACGATATCGCCGAACTACGTATATAAACGATTTTTCTTTCTACCTTCACGAACGACTCGTTTCGCGAATTGCTGTACTTCTCCACGAGGACGGCCGAGGCGAAATCCGCCAGCGCCGGCGCCGTCGTGATTCTGTGCGCCCTCAGAATGTGCGCCACGTTCACGTCGTGCGCGCTGTACAAAAATATCTTTCTCTCCTTGTCGTTGCCCAGCATGTTGCTCAGCATCTTCTCTATCGTCGGGCCGGCCGTCATTCTCACCAAGGACGGCGTGTGTATCATCGCTTGATAAGTTATGTTGGTCAGCTCCTCCAGCGAATCGATCACCGGTGCGGACCATTCGGGCAAGGGCAGTCCCATGCTCATCTGTAATCGACGTTATCGATGACGATGACATCAAGATCGAGTTGCTGTTGAAATTATATACTCACGATGGCTTTGAGGTGATTGTGCAGGAAGAACATTGACATCAGTGGCTTTTCCCAATTGGCGTCGGTTTTATTCTTCACGTAATTAAACTCGCGCTCGTACTTCTTGTAATGCGCCTTTAATTCGGGCGAATTTAACGCCTCGTCGAAGTGTCGATCGAATCTACGCAGGAATTTAAAAAGTCGTTGTACAATAATTTCAAGCAAAATAAATACATTGACAAAGAGCTTCCTCATAAAATAATTATTGCTCTTCGATAACACTGATTTTTGCTGCTCTTCTTTTAAAATCACTATTCATATGTTTCAACCACTTACACCACTTTAACTTTGTAAAAATTGAAAAAAAATCCTAATGAGTGACAAAATATTACACGAACGAAAATGAAAATTTTTCGGGCATCATCCTCAACCCAATCGAAAAAAATGCAGTTCATTTCAATAACATCCACACAGACAGACAGACAGACATCATTCACAAATTCGATCTAGTTTATGATGAATATTATATACTCGACACATGTGAGACACAACAATTGACAAAGGCCCATTTTAAACCCATCACAGAGCTTCCTCTACATGAGGAAGCAAAATTAACTTAACATACCTCTTACAGTGATTGGTCATCAAGAAATTTTTGCCCGACCTGTCGGACTGATACGGTATGGGCGACCAACCGATCGAGTCGCTCCAGGCCGTCGTCTTGCTGGGCGGATACAGCCCGGCCAGTACCAGCTGGAGGGTCATCTTGGTGCGATCGAGATCGGTGCTGTAGCCGTAGACGTCGCCGTGCTCGTACTCGCCGAGATGAGAGTCGTAACGTCGGCGCAGCATTTTGCCGAGCTTGTGGGCACGTTTCTTGCCAACCTGTATCAAGAATCAAGAATATGCAATCGACTGAGAATCGAGGATACTTTTTTTTCGTTGCGTATATTGTAATACGAACATTTGTTAATTGTCCATACTGTTTCGGCCCATAGTACTTGAGATTGTAGGGATCGAGCGGATAGATCTCCTCGGGGGTCGGGTAACGATCGCCGTGTCGGAAAAGCTGCGAAATTCTCACGTGTATTTAATTATTTTTATACGAATTGATTAAAAATGTTGAAAAACTCACGACTTGAACTAAATCTAGCTCGCACTCTTGATTATTGATCTTGATCCTGAACGCGTCGATGCCACCGCCGACACAAAGAATCAAACTCGAGATCGTAATTAACGAAACCATCGTCGTCGTCATGGCGGGGCGTGTCTCGCGCGACTGCGAACGCGACGAAATGAAGGATTTATTTTAATTTTCCTGAAGCCCGAAAAAGCGAGATAAAAAAATATATCAACGTTAATGATCGATAATTGCTTCGTATCGCGCATTATCGATGACCCGACTGATTCCGAAACGAAAATTGCCGCGACGGAATTGCGAGCTTTCGACGAAATTTCGATATACGCGTACGATAAGGCGAATCTCTTGTCGCGCAGCTGCACGTGACTTCCTAAATTTCCACGCGAGATTCGTACATGCGTTATCGTGTTAATAATAAAAAAAAAACAACAAGGACAGATTAAGATTTTCACAATACGATTCGTTTATTCATGCAAAAGAAAAGCACAGATGGCAACGTGTTTGTGAAAATTCATTCGATCATTTTCATTATATCGTCGTTCAGGCTGAGCCAGGCTCGACGCTGTCCGTGTCGAAGATCCGCTCGAGGTCCTTGGGCTCCAGGCCCTGGAACAGGCAGCGCATGTCCTCGTCCGTCGGCACGATCGGCGCCACGAGCTCCTCGTACCTCGACAACGGGCAGATCTCGGCGCAGCCCGGCATCTCGAGGCGCATCAGTTTCTTCGGCTCGCCGATCCACAACAGTAGCTGCGGGACAAAGAGACAAAGGTAATGAGCGTGAGTCATTTTTTTGGCATTAAAATTGAAGTACGCTGAGTTTTACGGCAGAAATTTTTTATGAAAATTACTGTTTTAAATACGGATTTCTTATTTTATTTCTTTGCACTCGAAAATTCAATTATAATTAAGTGCAGACTACATCACTAGGTGGCGAGTACCTCGTATTGGTAAAATCTGCAAGTGGCGAAGTCAACGTATTCCTTTAAGTACAGAGTGAAAAGTCTTGTTTGTTAGTCTTTTCATTTCCATTTCAGAACACTGACAATAACCTTATTAAATTCGAATCGATTATTATAATCAAATTGAAGTTTTATACATTTCTAATGTAGAAGATTAAAAATAAAGTATAAATTCATATAAAAAAATTAATATTACGTAATTCGAGTGCAATACCAAAATGTAACTTCAAGTAAATCACGATTTTCAATAATTCCATCGATCTCTTGGCAGTTGAAAATATATACATCGACGATACAACTCACTCTTTCAAAAAAAAAAAAATATCTCGAGCTCAAAATTAATCCTCACCCTGACGTATCTGTTATTCTCTCCGTCCTTCAGCTTCTCGATTATCACGGCACTGCCGTAATCCGGATACTGGCCGAGGGTCAAATTGTGCGCCGCCACCACGGCGTGCAGATTCTTGTCGTGCGACGCGTACATGTAGAGCTTGCGCCTGGCCAGACGCATGTTCTCCAAAAATTGGCGCACCAGAGTGCCGCCGTTCAATCGCTTGAGCTCCCGCGTCCACGACAACGTGGCCAGATAGAACTCGTTCGCGCGCTGGATCTTCTCGTAGATCTCGTCCGTGTACCAGTCGGGCAGGGCCAGCTGCAGATCCTTCTGGATCAGCAGGAAGTTGTAGGCGCAGATGATGTTCATGAAGGTGAAGTTCTCGTATCTGCTCTTCATGAGGTCGATCACGTCGGCGAATTCTCGGAGGGTGTCGCGCACCTCCGTCGTGTTGTAGAGCCGCTGCAGCGTCGTTATGAATCTGCGCGAGTCGAACGCGTTGAGCATAAAAAAATTTAAAAAAAAATAAAAAATTAAATATATTCTCTCGATCGTCGCTTACTTGGGACAGAATCGTGGCTTCATGAGAATGTCCAGCTGGCGGGGATTCGAGTTGACGGCGATGGGCATCCAGTCGAGGTCCGGATTCCAGATCTGCTGGCCCTTGGGCGGATAGAGGGACGCGAGGGCGAGCTCGAGCGAGGCCTTGGTGCGCGAGTAGTCCGAGCTGTAGGCGTAGACGTCCCTCGGTCTGTACTGATCGCCGAGAAAATCGTCGTATCTCCGGCGTAGCATCTGGCCGATTCGGTACTCCTGCTTCATGCCCACCTGCGTGACCAAAAAGGGTCGAATCGTCAATCGCGATTTGAATGTAATATAATTATGTGCAAAAATTTTTCAGACACTCACGTTAGTGAGTTGAGAGTAGCCCCAGGGTTGGTAGTAGGCCTCGCTATTGTTCGGTATGAGGATCGCCTCGCAGCCGATGGCCGTCCTCGCGCCGTGCCTGAACAGCTATACATGTAAGCAAACACAAAAATTATGTATGTTTTCTCAGATTTTGAATGTGAAAGTCTAAATAATAAAATTAAAAGTGAATTAGCTGATAAGTAATTTTTCAAAGTAAAAAATTGTCATTCTGTACTCGAATTCAAACATTACGATTGAGTTTACTTTAAAAAAAATGTATGCATGAAAATTCAATCATAATTAAAGCCAACATCCACCACTAGATGGCGAATGCCTTTATCTGCGTAAATCTGCAAGCGGTAAAGTTAAAATAATTGTATATAAGAGAACAGCACATTTTCGCAACAATATCTTTGATTACATGAGAATTGGGCTGTCATTAAAAAAATTTTCACTCACGACTTGAACCATCTCCAGTTGATAATCATCCTCGTCGAATTTCGCGACGTTCTCCAAGGGCGGCAAACCTTTGGCCTCGCCGAGGGCCCAGAAATTCGAGCAGAGCAGCAGCAGCAACAGCGGCGCAATCGTCATCGTGATTATTGCGAGGTTGTTCGAGAATTGACTGACGACAACGACGACTACCAAGAACGAGGAAGATCCGATGTCCGGCCCCCCCGAGACGCCACGTAAGAGTCAGTCGAGACTTTTATTTACCCATCAACGTTGCGACGGAGTGAGAGAGAGATGTGTTATTTGCAATAATCTAATCGCCAAGTAATAGCGGAGTCACGCTTAGTAATATAAAAAACACACTATTGCGTAAATTGTGTCAATTTGCACAGCGTTCGGACATGGCCGAAATATTTCGCCGTAATAAGTCAATAAAATAATTATTAATATTTACTGATCTCTATATCTCTAAAAAAAAAAAAAAACATTACAGCCTCGCCGAGTACAACGAGAGATAGCAGCAGCCTTACAATTATAAATCAGAGATCGTCGATTTCCGACGCGGATCATCGTCGCATCGCAACGCGCGACGACGCACCGATAAGACTACGAAAAATTTTTCTCCCCTTCGAGCGCACGAGCATGCACAAACGCGTTCGAGATAAACAATATCAATTGCCGAAAAAAATGAAATGAATTGTTTTTATGTACGAGCCGAGTTCATTGACGCAAATCCGTCCGCGCCGATCGATATATAATTCGACTTTTTAAAATAATAAATGATTAATTTTCGACACTCGAGCTATGCGTAACGATAATAATTATACACATCGTCGTCTCTGAGGGGATATAAGGCGCATCGATGACTTTGCCCGATATACGTATGTATAATAATACATGTATGTATAAATCGAATCGTAGAATCGTCCCTTTTCAACGCGGGACGGGCACAGGCACGTGTCTCGCGCTTCAAAAGTACACACCGCGGACAGGCGCAAATAGCAGCCCCGCGCGCGCTTAAGCCTGTTACGTCGGCTCTTGAAAAAAAGAAGAGAGAGACCGTATAATAGAGATTTCACGCCGCGGGCGCTTGGTTCTCACAGTCGGGGGTCGTTGTAGTGTATATGTAGCATATATACACAGTCTAGCCCACTGCACCCTGCCTTGACCCCCACACCCTTACGCACGTACGTACGTACAGCGGCGCTAAGTATCTGTTTATAGTCCGCGGGGATCAATTTGTTTGGCCGATTTATTTATTGGTCGTCGTCGTCGTCGTCGTGGGTACATAAGGCAAATTGGCCACGGCTCTTCTTCTTCCGACGTTACGTGCATTTTTTTCCTTTACACACGTATATTATGTAATGCGCGGTTGGGAAAGGCAAATATGCGCGTGTTATACGTATACGGCACGCGGCCGGCGGTACATAAACTGCGAGCTGCTAACCGGACAGCTCTGATTGTTACGGCGCTTTAAAGAGACACGCCACGATTTGTTTTTCCTTTTTTTTCTCCTGCGGATCTTTATATATTTTTCGAGTGGATTTTTTTTAAGCGGGAAGGGTTGAATATAAGTATGTTTTACTCGTGACGATCTCGATGACGAAAAGTCGATCGCGCGAGTAAACCCCCCCGCGAGATATCGAGTTATAAACATACGTATACGCTCGTGTAATGAAACAACAACAACAACAAAACAAAAACAAAAACAATCGCAATTTCTCGATATCGTGCAGAAATCATCGCTACGTACACACGGACGTCGCATCGTCACGTGTAGACAATATCATACATTTATCATCGCGTTTATGAGTGGGTATGTGCGTTAGGCACGCGGCTGCTGCCAGCGACAATCGTCCCACGTGTTGGCTAATTTCATGCCTCGGCTCATCATCATCGTCTCCCTTATGTAAAAAAGAAAAGGTACTAGCACGCGCGCGCGATGACGAAAATTCAACTCTGCACTACTCGCGGCTATATATATACATAATAAAGTAGCTACTTATAAGCCAAGATACTCTCCCAAGAGTATTTGTCGACCGTACGGGACGGGACACGCACGAGGGGTGGGTTATTATAGAATCTCTGAATATTCAAATGAGCCACACACGCTCGTGTGTACGTATACAATATACATACATAATACCACAAGTAGCGATATATATGCGAAAGGTAGGCTATACACATATGCCTGCACCCTTGTATTTATATGGGTACGGGAACACACACACACACGAGCTTCTGTGGGCGCCTGTGTCAGCGAGGTGTTGACACAGTTAATTGGAGGCACGCCGTCGACTGTGACGATTCGCTCACTCGCTACGCTAGTACGCCAATTATGTAATAAAAAAAAAAAAAACGAAACGATTTTTTTTCTTCGGCTTTTTTCCGCGGATCGTAATCGCGTGCGTCTTTCGAAGCGTGATTTTATTGATTCTCGTTTTTATACCGTGCGAGCATGCGGCTGCGCCTGTGCGGAAGTGCAAACAGGAAAAAAAACAGTTACCTGCAAATATTTGATTTAGGAAAGGCGTATATAGGTAGCTGCACGTGTATCCGAGTATTTAGATATATACAGCCGAATTATAGCAATTGTAAAATTTTCACACAGTCCCCCACCCTCGTGTATTATGCTATTATCAATCTATATATACGCGCATGCCTGCCCTAACTTTAATTCATCCCGATGACGATGATTTGCATACGATCGCTTGTCCGGCGCTTATTATTATTTGCGGCCTCGGAATTAGCTCTATCTCTATCTCTCTCTCTCGTTCTTATTCTATGCACTCGTCATAATCCATCCCTGCCACTGCTGCTGCTACTGTCGTGCGGTCGTCAGCACAATACACGATTGTGCCGCAATAGAAAAATTATTCGCGCTCGATTGACTCTCTATTGCCGCATGTACATTTGCGGGACACACATTAAGCGTGTGATTCGAGGCATTTGTTTAATTGAGCGAAATTATACGCGCGAACCGAGAATCGTATAAACCAAGGCGCTATATCATTATCGAGTCGAGTGATGATTTATTATAAATATTTTTGTACTTTCCACGAACGAATTCACGAACATTTTTTTCCGTTCTAACTAGCGCAATGCTAAATTTTCCATTATTTGGTAATTCCGCTCTTGTGCCGTATCAAAAGTAACGATCGCTCGTTTTATTAACTCGACTTGCAAAATTTTTCCCCTATTTATGTGCGCGCCTCGCTCGAATCGGATTTATCGTTTAACTAATAAAATTCAACAATTTTATTATATACTCCATGGACGAGCGAAACGCATTAAAACTAATATTACGAGCGCGCGGACAAATGAAATCCTCCGTCGGCGGGGACAAAAGCCCCAACAGCAGCATCGTCTCGTCAACAACGACGATATAATTATTCAACGCGCAGCGACGTAAACCCACCCACGCGTCCACCAATGGCGAAGCGAAGCCCGTCGGGCGAGCAGCCATTGGCTCGGCCGCGAGAGGGTAGCCAACCCCTCTACCGATGTCGCGCGCGCACCACCCCCTTGGCTGCTGCAAAAAAGGGGTTGCCACCGCTAACGGAGGGGCTGGTTCATCGCGTATATAAAGTCTCGAGACGTCCGGGCGAGGAGCTTCATTGACCGACGAGACTCGCGGCTAAAGGTCGTCTTCTCCGTGCGTCGCTTTGTGTATCATTACATGTTCGTCTCGTGAAAGTGAGAGCGCCGATGCGCTGCCGACAGTGCGTGGGTGGCTGACATTGTGCTTTCATTTCGTATTTTTAGTGATAGCGTTTTCTCTACGAGTGAGTTGGAATCGAGGTGATTGTTTTATTTTTTGGCCGTTGTTGTTAAAACCATCTCAAAAGTTGCATAATGGCCACGCACTCGATTTACGATTACGACGACGGCATCGTCGTCAGCGGCGGCGGCGGTCAGAGGCTTCAGAGGCACAGGCTCGGCGGCATGAAGTGCGCCGATTCCGCCGTGGCTTGTACGAGGTACATACGTGATATTTTTTTCATTCAGAGCTCAAAAATGTAATTCACACGTTTTACGGATGATTGATTTCTTAATTTCAGATTAATTAATTTGCATATAATATCACTCGTCTTTACAAACATATCTATTTTAAAATACTTATGATAATAATACGGATTACTTTGCTATACCGATGAGGAAATCTTATAAAAAGAACTCAAAAATGTTTATCCTGTCTTGTCAGTTAAGTATTATCTCGCAGAATGAAAATAAATATCGAGGGATGATAATCCGCGAAAATCGTATACGTAGTATGTCGCGTAATAGAGATCACAATCGCAATCGAATATAAAGTTTATGAAGAATACATACACGTACAGACGTACATACATCTCGAGAATCCATAAATCAATGAAAAGTTTGCTGTTTGCTTTGATAAAGATAAAGATAAAATAAATAAAAAAAATAGAAAAAACATCAAATATTTGCCCGCGCGCACATGTTCGAGAAATTTTTCTTTCTTTATCGTGCGTTAATCCCCTTTCTCGATTTCGATCACATCGATTCAGGTGAGAGAGAGCATCGCAAATTGTAATCGATGTTTATTTTTTGTAGCGCCCAATACTACATGGGCCCCGGCGGCGAGATGAGCGAGGAGGATCTCGTCGATCTGCCGTCGTGCGTCTACGCGAGTCGGCCGTCTCAACAGCAGCAGCAGCAGCAACAGCAACAACAGCAGCAGCATCAACAGCAACAACAGCATCAGCAGCAGCAAATTTCACATCAACAGCAACAACAGCAGCAGCAACAGCAGCAACACATGTCGCATCACGCGCTGGTGCAGCAACACACCCACTCGCCGCCTCTGCATTATCACCACGTCAATCAGATGGCCCAAGCGCAAAACGGTAAATCTCTTTTTTAATCTATATATTAATTTTTATACGAACAATGTAGCGATTGTCTCGGTGTCGCAGATCACACGGAAAACGACATGAACGGCATGGAGGAGAGCTACTATCCGAACGGCAGCCCGTACAGAATTCAGCGTCACGCGGCCAACATACGCGAGCGCAAACGCATGCTTAGGTGAGCTGCTACATAATAACATCAATAAATAAAAAAAAAAAATTTTAAACACAACGACAAATCGAACTAAAAGTCCCGCTCTGTGTCTCTCTTTGGACTCCTGCAGCAGTATCAACTCGGCCTTCGACGAGCTGAGGGTGCACGTGCCGACCTTCCCCTACGAGAAGCGACTGTCCAAGATCGACACCCTGAGGCTGGCCATCGCCTACATAGCCCTGCTGCGCGAGGCCCTCGCGACGGATCTCGATCCGTTGACCTACATCGAGCGCTGCCTCAAGGGCGAGCTGAACGGCGAGCGGGCCGAGTGGAACACGAGCGACTTGACGGCCAGATTGTCTTGGATCAATTGGGCGAATCTGGGCGTGAATCCGAATCGACGCTCGGTGCTCACGTCGTTGGCACTGACGTCCGACAATATGAATTGAAAAGGAGAAAAAGAGTCGTAACGGATCTTGTAAATATGTATTTATCGAATGCCAAAGATTTTTGACGATAGGGATAGAGTAATAACGATAATATTATATATTTAAAGAAATGGGCAAAAAAAAATACAAATATTTTGACTCTTCGCCTGCTAGTAATCTCAGTCTTGTAATAAGTGCAATAATAACACAGCGAAGAAAAAGAAAAACATTGTAAATGCGTTGATTTATATATCCAAGTTATACACCAACACACATTCGATGTAGAGTGAGAGAGAGAATGAGAAAGAGAAAAATAAGAGATTAAAACAATCGACAATGTGAGTTTACGTACACAACAATTTCGGATCCTGCCTTGTATTAATTCTTTTTCGATTAATCAACAGTTCAAATCGTGTCTGACCTTGATCTTTTCCAGAATTTCGTTTCTACTTATACATTTATTTTCATTTTACCACTTACAGATTTACAGATACACGGGTGCTCGCCATCTGGCGGCGATGTCTGTGGCTTTAATTTTGATCGAATTTCTATGCATTTTTTTGGTGTACAATTAACGCGATATATAACTAAAACATTAACTTTAAATCAAAACGCATGAATTTAAGTATAAAATTAAATATTATTTTATAATTAATTTTCGCGCATTAAGAATAACATACACCATCGAATTTTCATGAATTTTTTTGGTGTCGGTTAACGCGAAAAAATTCACTTAAATTAAAATTCAGTATCCGTGATTTCGTTTCGCGATCAACTGAGCGGATACTTGAGCGAGAATATGTCCTCGCGCATCACCAGCCACTCGGTGGAGGGCTTCGGCTCGCCGGGCGGCGGATACCTCACCAGGTCGCAAAAGATGTCGAGCGAGTAGCAGTACCTCACCTCGGCCGTGGGCAGCAGCGGCTCGACCAGACGCCTGTAGTCCTCCAGAGGACACTCGTAGCCGCAGTCCGGCATTTTCAGGGGTCGCAGCTCCTCGGTCATGCCGTCGTAGTACATCATCTGTACAGCAAAAAAAAAAAAAAATCAATGGTTCGATCCTCGAATCCGAACAATTGAATCGAAATTATTTGTTTACGCGTACCCTCAGGTAGACGCGCTCGTCGTCGTTGCCGCGCAGCTTCTCGATTATGACGGCGCTGCCGTAGCTGCAGTCGTCGGGCACCCGATCGAACTCGTGCGCCCTGAGGAAGGTCGCCAGATTGATGTCGTGCCCGCTGTACAGATACATCTTTCGGGCCTCGTTCACTCCCCTCTCCTGCTCGTACACGTTGTTGAGAATCTCGTCGATGGTCGGACCCACGGCGATGCGTCTCATCTCCTCCGTGGCGACGAGAGCGTCGAACAGCATCGCCGCGATCTCTCGAAGCTGCTCCATGTGCTCGGCGGCGCACCAGTCGGGCAGGCCCAGGCCCATCTGCAGCGCCGAGTGGACGTTCGTGTAGAGGACGTAGGGCGTGAAGAGGCGTCGGGTCGTCAGACCGGTGACGTTGCGCAAATAGGCGTAGAACGACTCGTAGCGACGGAACTTGGCCCTCAGGTCGGGCGTGGCCTCGAGCTCGTCGAAGAGCTTGCGGAATCTCGGGCACTGGGTGACGATGCGCATGAAATCCAGCTGGCGCTCGACGTACTTGACCGGGACCGGGGTCCAGTAGAGCTCGTCGTAGCGGCGCCGAGAGTTGAGGCCGGCCAGTACGAGCTGGAGCGACATCTTGGTGCGCTCGTAGTCGGTGCTGCGAGCGAAGTACGAGTCGTAGCGGGTCACGGGCCCGAGAAGCTCGTCGTAGCGGCGGCGCAGCAGCAGGCCAAGTTGGTACTCCCGTCGCATTCCTTGCTGCAATTATTATTACGAGTATGATTCATAGACGAAGTAAATAAAGGAGAATAAAAATCGTCTAATTAATACTTTTATAAAAGTAAAATAAATAAGTTTTAGTAAGTTTTTTACAATGTACTACTTTCTTCATTGAACTTTGATGACCCGTGGTTAGATGCCAATGACTTATTGGAATTTATTAATTGAATGCTTAAAACTTTTATTCAAGAATTTGAATTTTTTACCATTAGAAAAGTATCAAACGTTAATTTCATGCTATTGATTGGTTGAAAGTATCAATTAATCATATCATACTTTGTCTGTGTAATAGCAGCTTGTTAGTAAGGTTTTTTATATGTAAGGTGTGTGTCCCTATTTTCAGTCAATAATTATATTTACAACTTAATTGTTCGAAAGACAATTTTTTCTTTAAATTGGCCGAATAAATCTAGCATCTTCAAAAGAAATATATTATTCAATTTCAGATACATCAAGTTCCAATCCTATATAAAAAATTAATTCAAAGTTGACCGAAAATATAGGGGCGTATACCTTATTTATAAATACTAAAAAATTTCTTTTTTTATCAAGTGAATAAACATAAGATTATAGGAAACAGTGGGTATAAATATCGATCGAAGATAACTCAAGGGTCAAAAAAAGCTCTAATTTACCTCGGTCAGCTGACCATAACCGGACCTTCGATAGATGTCGTCGTAAGGGTCGGTCTTGTAGACCTCGATCTGGCCGGCAGCTCGATCTCCGTGTCTGAATATCTGCGAGACATTTTAATAAGCATAAACATATTTAAATGCCAAAATTCGGAAGCTTCGTGTCGAATCGAGTACTCACCACTTGCACCTGCTCGATCTCGAAGTCCTGATCGGCGCGCAGGGCAACGATGAGAGCGGCCGCCCAGACGCAAACGACCACGGTAGGCGCGCGGCGACTCATTTTGCGATCGAAACCAAAAAAAAATAACGATTTTTCTTCTTGCTTCGAGGCCCGCGCTGCAAGCTCCGCTTTAGCGAACTGCGGGAATCACATCGTCGAACTCCACGACGACGCCGCCGCCGTCGCGCCTTGCACCGTTTTATATAAAAATATCGTTACCGCGCGGCTAAACGATCGGATTCGAGCAGCAGATAAAATATCTTTCTCTTCTTCTTCCTCGGTGTAGTGTGTACTCAACGATATATACATATATATACCGAAACGTATCTGCTTCACGCAGAGCTCTATTTGTTTAGGCTGAGGCAAAGATTATATATATGGATACGATGCATACGGCGCGCGGTGAAAATGACGCGCGACGTATATACAAATACGGAATTATATCGCGATTCGCTGCACTTGTGAAAATATCTATTTGTGCATCGATCGATCTTTGTACAGTTTACACTGTGCGATCGTAAAAATCGCAAAGAATTTGACTATTCGCAGTTTACTTTGTTTTCTCGCGGCGATGTTTGAGGCATTTCTCGATCGTAGCCGCGATAGCCGAATCTGTTTTTCTAGCTGCGTTTTTGCAGCTTTACGCGATCGAAAATCGCAAAAAAGAAATAAGTCCACGGAGCTTGAAAAGCTCCGAAGCTCGATATTTTGAAGACGATTGAGATTGAAATATTGGCAAGTCTTTTTCGGTAATTTATTTACAGGGTTTTTTTTAATGAAAATCGTCGTGTAAATCTATCTAAAATATTCAAGTACAAGCACTTTTTTTAAATTTGACTGACACGAGATATTAGCTTCATTTGAAATAAAGCTCAATAGGCAGGTATCTTCAAGTCAAAGCTATTCTTATCTTTAATGCCAGAAAATAACAAATATTTTACCCACGAAGTAAACGAAAAAGGCTCAATTAACAGTAAAGATAAAAAAGCACACTTTTGTAATGCTATAAAGGCAATAAAAAAAAAAAGTAAAATCCTTGAAACATATAATCAAAATTGTTTTAATTTTCAAGTCCTTGACGCAGTAAAAAATTGAAAATAGAATAAAATGTGATTCTTGCGGCAGCATGTTTAGTTTACAATATTCGGACAAATCATCAGATGTAACGTTTTAATAAACAACATAATATGAATTTTCTGGAAATACTTTCCGAATTGTCGAGTTATATAACACATGCTCATATTGTTGTTTGTTTGACGAACGAGGTAGCCAGTTCGTCGAGTATTTAGCATACGTTACGACGCTCCGGCGTAAACAGAGAAAATATCGCATCGATCGCAGCAAGTGATTTTCGCGAGAAAAGTTGAAATTATTTCATATCCTGATAGTTATTTTTCCTCGAGTGTATAGAACAATGTCCGACGACGCGAAAAGTTTGAACGAATTGGAAAAATTGCGCGCAAAGTTCAACTTGGACAATACAAAAGAGAGAGAAAAATTTCTCAATGAATTTTACAAACTAATCAAAAGTTGGCAAGGTCGACGACCAAATTTCCGGGACATTTTTCGGCCTGAAGATATCGATTGCATTCTCGAGGAGGGTGTTCGTTCTGACTACGATCCAGAGAAACTAATCGACTTACTTATCGATACCGGCTATAAAGACGAACCCGACGTGGATAAAGACGACAAGCCACTTTCGCGCCGTAGCACAGCTGTGCATGCAACTCAAGGCCGTTATCCAGGGTGGAAGCGGATAACCCGCAAGCTGTTTAAAATCTACGACAGATTCGACGTAAATTACACCGACGAATTCGGCGTAACGCATTTTCATTTAGCCTGCGAGTATGGTCTTGAGGAGATCGTTCAAAAATTCCTCGAGCTAGGCCAGGATCCCAATCTACAGAAGGGCCGTAGTGCATCGCCACTGAGCTTAGCCGTGAGTGCAGGTCACAAGGATGTGGCACTGATGCTTCTGAAAAATGGCGCCGATCCAAATCTGGTCGTTTACGAGGAATCGACCATTCTGCACTTTTTATGCGATGGATATTACGATGTTAAGCTGTTGAAGATGTTATTCGAGATCTGCGACGAATCGAATCGGCCATTGCAGATCGATGCTAAGGACAAGTTTGGTCGGACACCTCTTCAATGGGCCGTGGCGAGACTCTTGCCGAATATCGTCGATGTGCTCTTGGATCGTGGCGCTGATCTGTCCAGCTTCTTTTTCCCAGCTGTGAGTGACTTTGGCTACACTTACGAAAGTTTTATTCAGAATAATCATTCCAAATCGAGAAAAATATCTAGCGTTCTGTTGATCGCCGAACGTCTCGAGAAAAAGGGATACGAATTGGACCTGTACGACGCTCTCGCGATTATGCATTTTTTCGACAAGTACAAATTGTTCGATCAGTCGTCGATTTGGGTAAAATGTTCGAACCATGAAGAGTTCGAGAGTAGATTGAAAAATATAGAGATACGCCCGAGTCTGTCGCTCTACGAGCTATTTCGGATGAGATCCGACGAGGCTGCGAAACTAGTCACAATTGCGGACTACTTCACGTTGGCGGGCACGGGAAAATTGAGTGAGTTAATCTACGAATATAGACAAGTTTGTGACTTGCATCTGTGCGAGATAACGTTGAGAAGATTTTGTCGACGATGGGCACTGGATTCTTTTTTGGAGCTGACGCGTTACCGGCTGCCGATTGTCTGCTGTGATATAATCATCAGAAATCTAATAAACAAAGATTTGTTTCATATTTGTTTGGCGGCTGCAGGCCAGAACACGTGATGGCTCGTTAATTTTATTAATTTGGGAGAGCGGAGAAAACTAATTTTCAAAATTTCAATTCCGAACTATGAGTATTGCAATTGAGATAAAATGAAAGTTTATTGTCTATAATAATTTTGAATGTTTGATGTAAATCTGGAGATTCTCAACGATAATTTATATTAATAATTTTCATTCGATTAATTTATAAATCTTTAATTTTTCTTCATTTTTTACTTGTTTTTATTTTTTATTTTCATTTTATAATACTAAAACATTTCATAATACTAAAGATTATAATTCGATTTACTCGACTCGCGATTCTGACGTGAGTTCTTCATTGATATTCATCTATGCGGTCTTAAAGTCTTCAGAAAAGTACCCATACACACTTGAGCCGAGCAGAATTTGGAAAAAAAAGTTTGATTCTCTTCCCAGAACTTACATATGGCATTTAGTGTTGATAAAATTTTCACATTTTGAAGTTCATATAAAGTTGTATGCAATTTTTCCAAATTCTGCTCCGCTCACGTGGATGAGGTTACTTTTCTGAAGATTTTCACACCCCATAGATCAATATTGATGAAAAACTCACGTCAGAATCGCGTGGTCCTTGAATCCAATCACAATATTTAGTATTATCAAAAAGTAATGTAATTATTATTTCAGAGCTTCGGCAGGAGCTGTTTTAGGTCAATCAGTGATAGGATGAACATATTATACTATCACATGAAAAATGTCAACTATTTCGATTTATATAGCTGTTTTTAGCTGAACCTGAATTTAAGCTTCTAACACAGTTCGTTTTCCGTAGAAATTTGTACATTTATTGACTTTTTTTCAAATTTAATAATTTTTTTATACAATGAAATAACCCTTGAAATGACTCATGATCCTGTCAAAAATTAAATATTTCTAATTAGAGTTCCAAACATACTCTAAATTTTATACGATTATTATGAAGGGCCTAAGTCGCTTAATCAGACGAGTAAAAGAACACACGTACGCACAAATCATTGTGCACTGAATCAATAAGTTTCTCGAAGTGATTCTTTATTACAAATGTCTTTTGGTATGTATCACATGCATAATGCGATACTATTGCTATTCATTATCGATTCGAAGTAGGCGTTCAGATTAGACTTTTTTGAAAATGACCATTCGCAAATTTCACACGTACACGTCACACTCTGATACATAGTGGCAGATTATGGAGCTCGTCAACCACTGGAATTATTATTAAAAATTTTTTGATTTATCTGAGGATTTATTTACTGAATGTTACCGATAGTTATTTTGGAATACTAAGTTTTGGAAAAGTAGAAAAATTCCTCGAAGAAGTCGGTCGAAAAGTAAGAATTTCAAATGATTAATCGGTACTTTAATTTACCTTCAATTATTTAATTTTTACTCACAATTGTTAATTTTCAATACAGTCGGTAGAGTATAACACAATCAGTAAACGTTGAGACGGCTCGGTGTCAACAGAGCGGAAGATCATATCGACCGCAGCGAGTGATTTTCGCGGCGTAAGTTAAAAATATTCTCAAGTTAAAAATGATGTCCGAAAACACCCAACTCGACGAGCAATTTTTTTTGAGACTATTGAAAAACGGATATGCAGAGGCCGATTGGGAGAGCGAAGAAGGGCGAAGCAAATTTTTCTATGGAATACACGGTTTATTCTCACATTGGAGGGGCCAACTTCCGGCCGACCTCCGGGAGATATTTCTTCCCAATCGCTTCTCGGTCGATCGGCTTCTCACGGAGGCTTTGTACAATGGTGATCATCCGAAGGCTCTCGTCGACTTTGTGGTCAGTACCGGCTACAGGGACGAGCCCGAGCTGGATCGAGACGGCAATCCACTGTTGCGTCGCACCACTGCGCTGCACCTCACCTTCAAAAGTCGACACCCCCACAGGACGGAAGTGGCCCTTGAGCTCTTTAAAATTTACCGGGCGAACTACGTCGACGAGGACGGATTGACGCACTACCACGTGGCCCTGTGGTTCGGCTTCGACGAGGTCATCGAGAGATTCCGCCAACTGCAGCCCTCAGGGCCCGGCCGACTCGGGGGCGATCCTCTGCTGCATCGGGCTCTGGGGGACGAAAACACGGACCTGGTGGAGCGACTGCTCGGCCGATACGACGCCGATCCGAACGAGCTAGATGCCCAGCGGGGAGCGACTCCGCTGCTGAGTATCGTCTGGAGACAATTACCCTCGGCTTACGTCTTTGCCCGGCTGATATTCGAGGTCTGCTCCCGTCCCGACGTCAATCAGACCGTCCAAGTGGATGCCCGAGACTGGTCGGGTAACACGGCGTTGCACTGGGCCATGGACAGCGGCGACCCACGACTGATCGAGCTGCTGCTGAGACAGGGCGCCGATCCTAATTTAGCCAACGCAGAGGGATCGACTGCTCTGCACGTCGTTTGCCGGAGAGACGCAGACGATCGAGCGTCGGTGACGAGGTTCTTCGAGGTCTGCGGCGAAATCCAACGGGAGGTGCGGGTCGACGCTCGAGATCGGTGGGGCCGGACACCGCTGCAGTGGGCCGTGGCGAGACTCCTGCCCGAGGCAGTGGCTGTGCTCCTGGACAATGGCGCCGATTTGTCGCGATTCGTCTTTCCCACCGAGAGGCACTTGGCCGAGATTCCGCAGTCTCGCCTCTTGGCGAGTTGGCCCCGGGTCATCCTGCGCCTACAGGCCGGCGCCTTGGCCTGCCTCGAGCAGCTCGAGGGAAGAGGATACGAGCTGCAGAGGAGCGACGCCACGTCCGTCATGAGACTGATCGGCAGCCGCGAGATGTTCCAGAAGCCGATCGACGTCGAGGAGTTTTTCGAGGACTACGCCGAGTTCGAGATCGAGGCGAGACGCACCGAGGTACGCAGTGCGGGCCCGCGCCTGACGCTCCACGACCTGATCCATTTGCCGCCGGGAGAAGAGGCGACGAGTCGATTCGCCTACTCGGATTACGTCGATTTGGCCGAATCGAGAAGCGCCGAGTCATTCAGGGTTTGGCAGGTGCTGCCCGACGACGACTATAAAATTCGGGAGGCTTGCGAGGAGCACCTGAGCGAGGCCATGGCGAGAGGATTTTTCCGGCGGTGGGCACTCGAGGCTTTCTGGGAGCTCGTACGCCATAGGCTGCCTATCGAGTGCTGCCAGATTATCCTCCAGCATCTCATGAACGAACATTTGTATTACATTTGCTTGGCGGCTGCGGGTCGTGACTGGTAACGTACGTCGATCAAAGTGTTTTTTTTTCATTTCCGACGTCGTTAAAAATTGTATACTCTGCATATTACATATGTTTTATGTATATTATGTTACAAATGTGTTTTGTATATTTCAAAATTGTATAATATTTTGCGTATTAATCGAATAAATGAGTTTACATTTATGATAAATTTTAGACCCTTATTCAGACGCATAATCCCTGAAAACGCAACTCAACCGGTCAAAGTCAAAACACTCGGTCGCGTAAAAGTTAGATTTATTTAAAAAACCGCTACCGATTCATAGACAAAGAGCTTCATTATAAAAGGTGTTAATGTTGATTATGTATTTTATTATGTATGAGAAGTTGAGCGCGAACATTATTTTAAGCGCAATAAAAAGTAGTAGTTTACGTATAAGTATACCAACGTGAATTCAAACCACTTGGGAGTTTTTTTAATGAACATCAACGTAAACAGTCATGATTATACGCTCGTGAGATTGAGCATCATCGAATTTGTTCCCAAACTTTCTGAAAATTTTAATTGCAATAAGACAAAATATGATACATTGTGTACTGTTTTTTTTATTATTCTTTTTATTACCATTTCATAAGCAAAAGGAAAACTGCTGTCAATGCCTTGGCAAAGAGACGTTCCACCTTGAAGATCTACTTGACAATTGATGTTGCTAAATAACTTACTTATTGAGAAATCTGTGGAAGGGGTCAAAAACGAGCGAAGTTTAGGAATAATTTCTGCTTTAAGTTGCAATGGAGGATAAGTGTGTAGAGGGTGCTTCATAATAACCACAAAAATAATAATAGTTCAAAATGCTTTATTGTTTTTAACAAAATTAAATATTACATTACTGCCCTAGCATCACCCTTATAAAAATTTCCAATAGGATCCCGCGAAATTCCTATTGGAATCCTATAGGACTCCTGTAGGAATTTCGCGAGATCCTATAGGAAATTTTTATAAGGGCACACGTGCTCTGGGGTTTCTGTTTTCGCGGGATAGAATTGCATACTATTTTTCAAATTCTCTGGCCCGAAAATCTTCTCTTTGCGCATTTCCAGGCCACTGATATGAAAAAATATTTATACGAAAAACTTTGTAAAATTGCGCTAGAGTATTTCATTCAAAATCTGGACAAATATCACATTCCTAAGATTTTTAACGAGTGTGTACAGAATCTTTATAAGAATTGAGATTACCTTTCAATCTTTAAATTATTTTTGACTAGTTTCACATTCGAAAGATTTGCTACAAATATAAACTCCGATAACGTGAGTTTTGAGGCTAACTTTTTGTCCAAATGATTTATGATAAACCTCACATTCAAAGGGTTTGCTCTTATTATGGACTGTACTTATATGCCTCACTCACTCGCTTCGCTCGTGATGCTAATGTCGGGGCAAGCATCAAACTTCGAAGCTTAATTACAGAGTCATATGTTAAAGTCTAGTATGACTTGCTAGGCTCACAATGCTAAAAGTAAAGGAAAAAAATTCGCAGCACATATAACTGATTTCATGTAAAAGTCAATAATAACCATAACCGCTTAGTTTTTTGCACAATCAGACAGCAAATCAAGACCTCGATGCGAAAGAAAAAACAAATGCAAGTCTTTATATGCATTGAGATCTTGAATTCAATTTATATTTTGAATTTATTAGGATAATTTTATGAAAACTTTTGCGCGGGGATGGAAAAAAATACTATTTCTTACACGGGTGAAAAATGAAACACCCTCATACACGTGATATGACGCCTCGGCGCCATTATCACGTGCATGCGGAAGTTTCATTTCTTCCCCTTGTAAGAAAATCTACTAATTTCAACGTCTTGTTCGGAGCTAAGATGGGCCGAGCGAAAGATTTTGATAAAGATGTAATCGGTAATAACCATATTTTTTCTGTCAAAAAAAGCCAACGTTGGAAATCATTCAATTATTCAATTAAGGAGGTTCGATAGTAAACTTCATGTCTTTAGAAACGCCTGAAACTTTTTTATTTCAATCTTTGATAAGAAATGAATACACTGTTAAAATCTTAGATTGATCTACAATCTAGTTTTTGAGAAAAAAAAATCAAAAACGACGTCTTATACATGGGTCTTATGGGGAAAGTTACAACGATGTCACAAAAAAAGGAATGAAAATTCAGAGACAAATAAAATTTAAAAATCACTGCTCAATCTAAACAAAACAAATTGAAAATTGAAAAATTGAGAAAAAATAAATTTAAATAAAAAATCTAGAATTCTGAAATCAAATAAGTAAAAACTAGAAAAGTAAAAAAAAACAAATTTAAAACAAATTAAAAATTAAAAAAATTAAAACACACACACACACACACACACACACACACCAGCACAAGTTTCGATGTTTCACATCTGGTGCTTTACTGGTGATTACTTAACTCAATAAGAAGGAAAGATTTTAAGAGTAAGCACTCATTGATTATGCACCAGATGTGAAACATCGAAACTTGTGCTGGTATTTTCTGAATTTGTGTATGTGTGTGTTTTAATTTTTTTAATTTTTAATTTGTTATAAATTTGTTTTTTTTTACTTTTCTAGTTTTTACTTATTTGATTTCAGAATTCTAGATTTTTTATTTAAATTTATTTTTTCTCAATTTTTCAATTTTCAATTTGTTTTGTTTAGATTGAGCAGTGATTTTTAAATTTTATTTGTCTCTGAATTTTCATTCCTTTAATTAATAGATAAAGATGTTTCACATCTTGCAGCTGTTCTTAAACAGCTGATTTTTTTCTAATTTTTTCAATTTTTAATTTGTCGTTAATTTGTTTTTTTTTATTTAATTTTTTTCAAGTATCGAATTTCACGCTCTGGTAATTTACTGGGGAAATAGTGGAGACCAGCATAAGTAATACCGGGCAATATTATTTCTATATGCCATGATTGCTTCTTTCACTATATCTATACAGTTAACCAACGAAGCTTGAAAACTGGTATTCAGATTGAGCTTACCGACAATTAAACTTTATATAAATTGTATATTTCTATGATTCAAATCGAAAGATAAAATCATATTTATTTTTAGCCAAATATTTTTTTCTGACTTTTCAGTGGGTTTTTTGAATTATTTTATGAAAATTGTAGATGAAAATCCAAAGAAAAACCCAAAACGTTATAATTGTTAAACTCATCACTTTTTAATGCTCTCTTTTGAAGGAAGGGAGGAGGGCCTTACTCATTAGGCAAATGAAAACACTTTTTTTTCAATTTATTTATTTTAATAATATAATAATACATAAAAAAATCACGTCTTCAAATTAGTTTATCGTCAACAAACAAATATCAATCTTCGACCACCAGCCAAATGTAATATAAATCTTCATTCATTCGATAATCACTTTACATTACAAAATTGGTAATTTGTATAGTGCATCGATTTTAATCAAAAGCTGCTAATTGCCAGTCCAAAAAATAGCGTGCCCTTGGTATATTTTTGCACAGGTGCTCAGCGCAAATCTCCCAAAGACTTCTTCCCAATGGCCCAATGGGAAGCTTACCCCATTTTTTCGAACGCGCAAATTCCAAGTAGTCTGTTGACTTGAGTTGTCTTTGCGCTTCATCAGATGGCAACCGTATCAGGTCGTAAAGTGACAGATTCGGCTTCATCATTATTTTTTTCGCTCCTTCTGCGAATTCCTCGTCGTCGTACCAAGATTCTTGGACATTCGCTGACGTCTCGCTCGGTCCGTACTTGATCACTGCTGTAGTGTAGTAGATAAGAAAACTGGACTCATTAAATTGCAGTCCTCTGTTCTGAAGACGTTCTACGACGGCTATAATCCCAGACACTAATATCAATTTAAAGTTCTTCTTCCATTTGTGATACTCTGGCATAATTTCAGAGGGTATAATCAATCTGGAACAATCGGCACCATTATCCAAGAGTACGTCGACCAATCGTGGGTACAATTTTCCCACGGCCAATGTCAACGGTGTATTGCCAGAATGATCTGGCTTATCGACTTGTACTTGTAACGGCTTAATTTTAGCTTCCACTTCAAGACCTAATTGTTTGCTTGTGTTCAATAGTATTTTTGCCAAGTAGTCCGAGCGGTGTTTATGGCTATGAATGATTACATGCAGAGAAGTTAAGCCTCTCTGATTAGTTAAATTTGGATCTGCTCCATTTCTTAACAGCCATTTCATCATGCTTACGTTACCGCGCTGCGAAGCGTGGTGCAAAGGTGTGTTGCCCCATTGATCGGGTTTATCGACTTGCAGCGGCCGGCCGCTTGCCTCCAAAAGTATATTCGCCAATTTTTCCGAGTTGCTATCATTGAAATTGATAATGAAATGTAGAGGAGTCAAGCTTGTCTTATTGGCAGAGTTTGGACCGGCGCCACTTCTCAACAGTTCTTCGATTATCCATACGTTGCCACGTTGCAAAGCGTAATGTAGCAGTGTGTTGCCCGAACGATCTGGCTTATTGACTTCCACAGGACAGGCGCCATTTTTCAACAGCCATCTGATCATGTGTATGTTTCCGCGTTGCAGTGCGTAGTACAACGGTATGTTGCCCGATCGATCTGGCTCATCGACTTGTACCAGCCGATTTACTTCTTTGCTGGTATTCAAAAGTATATTCGCCAGGTCTGCGGAGTAGTCTTCATGGAAATTAATAATGATTCGTAGAGGAGTCAAGCCTTCCCTATTCGCCAAGTTCGGATCGGCGCCATTTCTCAACAGCAATCGGGCGATATCTTTTTTACCGCGCCGCAAAGCGTAGTGCAACGCAGTGTTATCGTACTCGTTCTGGGCATCGACTCGCACGAGCGACGTCTTTCCTTCTCGATATTTTCTCTCGTTGATTCGGAATAATATCTCTCCCAAGCAATAGTGCCCATACAGACTAATGAGGTGCAGAGGAGTCGATGCCTCCCCGTTGGAAAGATTCGGATCGGCGTCGTGTTCGAGCAGCAATCGGAACATCGTGAGGTTGCCGTAGAACAGAGCGAGATGCAATGGTGCCTCGCCCAAGTCGTTCAGGGCATCGACCCGCAAAGTTTGATTCAATTCGTCGTTAACGTCGAAGAACATTTTCACCAAGTCACTGTTACCGTGTCTCTTGTTTAAAATGTGCAAAGGTGTGAATCCCCATCGGTTGGCTAGATTTGGATCGGCGCCATTCCTCAGCAGGCGTTCAGCCACTTTTTTGTGTCCGTTCTCTAAAGCCAATTCGAGTGGCGAATCATCTGTTTCCGACACGGTATGAATGGGGTTTGGTTTGAACTCGAGAAATCTTTCAACGATCTCATCTAATCCAAATTTACACGCCACATGAAAGTGAGTGTAACCGTACTCGTCGATGTAATTCACGTCATAGCTATTGTACATTTTGAACAGCTCCTCGATGATAACATGGATGTCTTCGTAGTTGTTATTAGCCGCGCTATGTATAGGTGTGGTTCGATGCAGCCATGGCATACCTTCTTCATCGAGCTCAGGCTCGTCCATGTGTTCTGTCTTTATCACAAACTGGACGAATTCTTTGGCTCTCTCAAACGTCGTTTTATCCACTATAGAATGTATGGAATCATTGAGAAGACATTCTATTTCTTTGGGATCAAATAAGTTATCGAGTTCAGGAAGTGGACCTCTCCACTTATGGATCAGAAGTTCAATTCTAAAAAGAAACTCACGTCGCTCTTCGACACTCCAACCCATTCTTTTTCTCTCTTCCGTGAATATTTCTAAGCACTAGGTAGCACTGATATATACATACTGAACCATCTTCAAATAGAAAGTTACAAGAATTTCTAAGCTATTGAAGGCAAGAGTAGTGCCAGCTATATACATCAAAAGAGGAGTGGCGAGCGTTGTCCGAAATCGAAGATTCGTTCACAGCTGATTGCTTTCTCTCTCTTCTTTATCGACCGGTGGTGTAGACAATTCAAAATAACATTTCAAGTTATTCGCGCGTGCCAGATCGTGATTTCCGTACGATTTTCTATCCATATAGCTAAGCTTTGATTTTCGGCTGAATTAACCGGTCGCATAATTCGCGATGATACAATGATTGTAAACAACCACCCACGCGCGCGATATTCGTATTTTAATTTATTCAACCTACACTGAGAAAAAAGTTTAATTGAATCAATGAATTTTTAGTTGATTCAATGAAATAATTTAATTGCCGGTTGCTTATTAAATATTTATTTGAATTAAAGAAAAATATGTAATTGTTTCAGTTAGATAATTTAGTTGATTCAAATAAATATCTAAGTAAATTAAATAATTATCTAATTCAAGCAACTAAATATTTCATTGAATTGCAGAATAAATCAATTGTTTCAATCGAATCTATGGTTGTATTAAGAAAATAATTTCATTACTTCAAACAAATATTTACTTGATCGAATATAATATTTTTTTGAATGCAAAAATATATTTCATTAATTCAAATAAATATGTATTAGATTTGATTAATTAATTTGGCACCGCGAAAAAATATTTAGTCGTGTTGATAAAAATATACTAGTGAATCTAATAAATTATTAAAAAATAATTTGAAGTGATGTCTTCAACATAGTGTGGTATATTTGAATGCGACTTGGTTTTCGTTCCGGCTGTAGAGGGGATAGAAATTAATTAATTATTTAGTTAAAGTTATCATATGATCACATCGTATGTATGTTATATGTTAATTAGTTTATTACATAATTATTGAACAATCTTAATAACTATGGTATATATAAATTAATTTCTACCTACTCTAACGCATGAGACTATCGCTTAATTCTAACGCTCGGATGACAGTTCGCTCGCAGTAGTCAATCGCATACTATCACTACGGATATTTCTGTCTTATATAGTAATCTCGAACACTTTTTTGCCACTTAGGGGTACGGGAAATGCGCCATCTAGGTAAAAGACCGAAACTAAAATAATTTAATATTTAATTAAAAATCGAATAAATATTTAATTATTTCAATAAAATCTAAATATTAAAAAAATTTGTTTTTTTTACTTTTCTATTTTATTGGAAATCACATTTTCAAAAAAAAAAATGACTCGTACTTTAATTATTTTCTTTAACTTTCATTTGTAGCTTCGAAAGTACATTTTTATTAATTAAATTAGTGCATTGAGCGGTTATCGTTCCTTGTATGTTAATATAACATGATAAAAATGTCGACTTCCCTTAAGAAGACACACACTCATAGACACGTATACATGAATGCATTGTTGAATATCAGATTTGAAAACATGCATGATAGGGCGTAGAATCTTGCGACGTATACGCATAGACAGCACATACGTATTCTATGTATTATCGTACGCATAAGCAAGAGAGAGAAAGATATCTCAACGCAGTCAATGCCGTGAGCTAAGCTGCTGCTGCTTATGCTGTTACATAGCCTCGTGCGTATACGTCGTAAACACAGTCATACGCGCGTGCGAGAGAAAAAGAAATACGCGCGTCGAGTTTCGGCAGCGGGCAGCAGCAGAAAGCAGTTCGTTAGCTGGCGCGGCAGCTAATCACAGCGCGTAGCGCAAACCGACGCTGTATAGGCAGTTTTACTACCAAAGTTGCGCTCGCTCGGACGGACGGACGCTCGGTTTTCACGGGTTTACCCCTGATGCCAAACGCGAATATAGATGTTTCACATCAAAAAGCATTATGTAAACGAATTAGACTTAAGAAATGAAAAAAAAAACTATTTTTTAGAAGGCCAAGAAGGTATTGATCATTTTGAAAACAAAACGACTCGTTTTACAACACCGAATGCTCAATAAACAAGTCTAAAAACGTGAGATTCTGAGCCACGCGAGCCGAAATGTCGCGTTTTTACACGTTCATCGCTGTATTTCAGCTAGTAAAAATAAAATGTACTCTATGGAAAATATGTATTTCGATGGGAAATTTCCTCAGCTTTCGATTGAGACTACTTTGAAAAATCTTAAAAATGCGTTTTTTGAGATATTTAATGTTAAAAGTTTATTTTTACAATTTTCCGTGGAAAATGGAAAATTTTTGAAAATCTGACTTCACCATCGGAAAGCTGAGGAAATTTCCAATCGAAATCATATGTCACATATTTTTTTTAAGTGCGTTTAGGGGGTTTTTCAGCGAGATAGAAGTTAAGTAATTTCGCCTATAAGTGCCGTGCGGCCGCTGCATGCTGTTTTGCTAATAATATTTTGTTCCCATGAGTTGGTATCACTCCTTCGTGCCCGTGTATAAGCATAGGCGCCCCCCTCGCCCCGCCTGCCCCTTGAAAGTGCTATCGAACCTCCTTAAAAGCAACAAGTGTTTTTTACTTTTTATTTATTTATTTATTTCGATCTTAACATTGTAGCGAAGAGTTGGAATAGCTGTTACAGGATTACCAATAAAGCAATGACAGTCCTTTACAAACGTACGATCACGAGTTTTGACCGAAGGCCAAACAAATATTGCACAAGTCTTGGTTCATCAAATTATCGATGATCATTTCGCAGCACAGAATCGGCAGTCGATAATGAATCAGCACCAAGAATGGCTCCATTGCCCAGTCCCGGAAAAATCTCCTGGACATTTTTTCGCACAAATGCATAGCGCAAGCCTTTCTCGATTCTACGGGTAATCGATACCACCGTAAAATGCGCTCCACTGATCCCAGTATGAAGAATTCCAAGAAGTCGGTGTTCGTGCATAGCTTCTCCACCTCTCGGGGTGGCAACTGCATCAGATCGTAGAGCGACAAGTCCGCTTTTACCATGAACTCTTTCGCTTTGCTCGTGAACACCTCGTCCTCGTACCAATTGAATTCGAAATGCCTCAACTTCTCGATTAATCCATGCTTAGCGAAAAATTTCATGACGATCAGCGCTTCGCTACGGTACAACTCGCGTCCCCTTCTCTCTAGGATATCGACAACTGCCAGCGCTCCGGACACCAGATTATACTTGTAGTGATGGTCGTGCTCGTTCCCAATTTCATGGAACTGGTCAAAGTCCTTCTCGGCAGGAAAAGCGAAGCCAGACAGATCAGCGCCACGATCCAAGAGTTCATCGACAATATGCGGAAAAAGATTTGCCACGGCGTAATGCAGAGGTGTCCGACCCCACTTGTCCCGGGCGTCGACCTCCACCGACTGATTCAACTCGTTGTTGACCTTGAAGAATAGCTTGATCAAGCCAATACGATCACAGTCCCCCTCCGCGCAAGGTACGTGCAGAGGGGTGAATCCACACGAGTCTGCCAAATTTGGATTGGCGCCTCTTCTCAGCAACGATTTGACTTTCTTCTTTGATCTGTATCTCATAGCTAAGTACAGCGGCGTCTGACCCAGCTTGTCCCGGGCGTCAATGTGCACCGAAAGATTCAATTCGTCGACGATCCGAAAAAATGGCTCCGCCGAGTCATCGCTGCAATTCTGGCTTAGGAAGTGCAGAGGGGTCGATCCCTCGAGATTGGTCGAGTTCGGATCCGCGCCTCTGCTCAGCAGCAATGCGGCCACCCCAAAATGGCCGTCGTGTTCCAGAGCCAAGTGCAGCGGCGAGTTGCCATTTGTTGGCAAGGGACATGTATTGGGATCTACCCGGCCGAGATCGAGGAATTTCTCGACGACGTCGTCGAAGCCGTAACGACAGGCTATGTGAAAATGCGTCACGCCATCCTCGTCGACGTAATTCGCGTCGAGTCTGTTAAAAATCTGGAATAGGTTGCGGATAGCGTAGGAGGCGCCGTGAACACGTCGAGCCGCTCGATGCACCGGTGTGGTTCGACGCAGCAGCGGCTCGTCGTCTACGCCGACTTTGGGCTCGTCCTTGTATCCGGTGCGAACCAAAAACCCGATTAATTCACTGTTTCGCAAATCGTTCAGCAGACTATCTATGCCCGTATGCATAGTGTTTAGAAGACTCTCGATGTCTCCTTCGCGAAAGATGTCTCGGTGATTTGGAACTGCGTCAATCCAATCACGGACAAGAGGATAAAGTTGACGGATAAATTTATGTCGCTCGCCTTCGATCTGCAAATTGAATCTTTCTCGTAATCCCTTCAATGTTTCTAATCGATCCATTTTGCGCACTCACATACACTACACACAATCACTTATAATAATTTATTATACTTCTTTTTTTTCACTCGCTGCAGTCGATGCTATCTTTCTGTACGCTACGGCGTCGTAACGTGTACTGAACGATCATACGTACACTACGGTCTACATGTGAGACTGTGATGAGCTCGGCGCTTCTGCGCCAGTCGAAATTCAGCCTTCACCGGCAGCGACATCTGGCGGCCTCGTAAGGCACTATTGCATAGGTCTCAGTAAGTGCGCCGACGAGTAAGTGCGCCTGCACTACAGATTAGTCTAGGCGCTGAGGGGGTTTCGTATGCATTGGCAGGTCCCACAAAAAACAAAGTGTTTTTCTGAGTATTTTGACCCGCTGAATCCGAATTATCAACTCTCACCTCGCTCAGATGGTCGAGTAATTTGTTATAAACAAATTAATTGTTTATACGGCTATAACTCTTAAACTATTGAGTTTTTACTAAAACAATTTTTTTTTTCATTTTATTGTACACAAAAAGACGAAAATTTCCTTTTTTTATTCGTCTTGATACGACCAATAGAACCGGAGATATTGTTAAAATAGTAAAAAATAACGATACCGGACAAGGTCGGTGCGCAGCGCTCGGACTATTGCGTCCATAGCTCGGCCAATAACCAATATTTTCCGACCATAGGGTACTCATTTTAAAGGTATTGATTGTACTTTAATTTTATGCAAATAAAAATATGGATTAAACAATTACAACGAAGCTAGCATGATTAAAAGTATCAACTTTTATCATTTTTTTAGCCTGCTATTAGTTTATAAGTCGACATCGAGCTCTTGGCAAAAGAAAATCGCACATAATTATGTATGAGTAAATTGTAAATTTGTTCTAGTTTTTAAATATTACTCATTTTTTCAAATATCATTATTAAAACTAGAGTTATTGCATTTTTAACAAATCATTCCATCCGCTCGGCAACCGAGAGTGAACCGCGTAACCTACGCATGCCCTATAATCAAGCGTGAATGTAAAAATGAATTTAGCAAATAAGTATTATCGGTTTATAATATTTTTATTATATGTTTTTACACTTATCATGTTTTTTACAGTTACAGAAAGAGCAGCATTTTACTCCAAATGATACACACACGCACGATCTTGAACATGTGGTATCAGTGCACTGGGGAACTAAGTCCTCTATTGGTGGAAATAAAAGATGGCTTTTTTTGGTATAAACATATCATCCTCTTCATCCCAACCGAAATCAATAGGATTTAGTTCTTTAAAATTGTTTTCAAAAATGTGCGTCTGCTCATAAACTATATAAAGAGCGCGTAGAATGTGCAATTTTATAGAATTGGACGTTGGTGGCAAATCTTCTACTAAAGAACAATTGGAATATTTGTATTCATGAGTTTTTCCTTCTTGACCTGGATCTTGCACTTATTTGAAAATTGACATAGTCCTATGACCGAACCTTCTTCATCATTTCGGATCTTTTTTCTAAGCGTAAGTGGCGGCCCTCGCCGCCTCATCGGCGATCTCGTTGCCTTCGATGCCATGATGCGCGGGGATCCAGACACATTTTATGACTTTCCGCGAATTCGGTTCGATGCAAGCCTTGTACAAACGTCTGGCACAGATAAATAACGCGGGCTTGCAGTCGCTGAATATTACGAAATAGTTTTCGCGATGACCTTGACAGTACCTCAACGCCATCTCGAGCGCTTTGCACTCGGCCTCGATGCTCGAGTGGTGATTTTCCATGCTAACCAGGATCTTGACGTCGTCGCTGGGAACGTAGACCGCCGCGCCTACGTACGGAGCATCTCGCCACTTGCTCCCGTCCGTATAGACGGCAATGGCTCCGTCGTGAAGTTTCATGTATTCGTCGAGCGAGTCGTTGGGCGATTTCATCGCTTGTAGCTGCTGGCCAAACTTCAAGTCTATTTCCAGGCCCCAATTATTGGAGGAGCTTTTGAAAGAATTCGCAGGGACATCGCTAATCGAGGAAGGAAATCGTTGTACGTATTTATAACGTCGGCAACTGGACGGCTGATTTTTGCTCTCGTCGTAGCTGCTGATCGTTACGTCGCTACGACCGAGGGCCAGTTGCAGCAGTGGATCGCCCAACCTGTCCGGGGCGTCGATCGCCAACTTACGTGCCAGGCAGACGTTGCGATTGAAAAAAATCGCCAGCGCGTCGGCGTCGAGATTGCGACAAATGACGTCCACGGGAGTCAGGCCCCAGACGTTGGCCAGATTCGGATCGGCGCCCCGTCGTAGCAGCGACTCGGCCAGCCTCTCGTGGCCCTTGTCCACGGCCAAGAGCAACGGGGTGTCACCCAACTTGGCCTGACTGTTGACTTGCACCGTCTGTCCGATATCTTCGTTAACTTTAAAAAACCACTCCAAGTCATCATTGGCAGTGCCTCGATCGCTGATGACATGCAACGGTGACAATCCCCACTCGTCGGTGGCGTTTGGGTCGGCCCCTCGTCTCAGCAGCGACTCGACCAGCTGCTGGTTGCCCGAGAGGGCCGCGTGGTGCAGAGGTGTGTTGCCCCGCTTGTCCTGGGCATTGACCAGCAGCGTTGGCTCAACGTCGTCGTTGACTTCGAAAAGTATCTCGGCCAATCTGTTGTACTTGTTCCGACAAATCATCATAAGCGGCGTGAAACCGTCTCTGTTGATCGCCGTTGGGTCGGAGCCTCTCCTCAGCAGCCATTCGGACATCTCTTCGTCTTCATTTTCCAGAGCCCTGAGCAGCGGCGTGCGGCCCCAATCGTCTCGGGCATGGATCTTCACCGGCCGACGCTTTGTATTCTTGATCCCGAAGAATATCTTCGCCAAAACCTTGTATCCTTTTTGATCGATGATCTGACGAGGCGTCGATCCGTCTTTGTTGGCTAAACTCGCGTCCGCTCCTTTCCTCAGCAGTAATTCGGCCAACTCCTCGTGTTCGTTCATCAGAGCCCGATGCAACGGTGTGTTATCGAATACGTCTTGGGCATCGATCGGCATCTTTCGCTGGGACGAGCCGCTGTACTTGAAGAGCAGCTTCGCCAAGCCTATATCGCGATTTTTCCGACTGCTAACCAGGTGCAGAGGAGTCCGTCCATCCTTGGTGGCCGCACTCGCGTTAGCGCCATTTTTCAGCAGCAATTCGACTATCGTCTTGTTGCCGGAGACCAGAGCCACTTGTAAAGGCGTCGAACCCTTCGCGTCGGCCAAATTTGGATCGGCCCCGCGTCTTAGCAGCGATTCGGCGAGTTCCACGTTCTCGAGGTGCGCGGCGTAGTGAAGTAGAGATTTGCCCCACTTGTCCCGAACATCGACTCGTAACGTCTGCTTAGTGTATTCGATGACTTGGCAAATTATTGCCTCTAAGCCAGGATGTCCGATCGTTCGACAAATATGATATAGAGGAGTCGATATCTCTTTGTTGGTAATATAACGACCGGCGCTTCTTCTCGGCAGCAACGCGGCCACGTGTTTGTGGCCGTTTTCCAAAGTCGAGCGCAACGGTGAATCATCCGTCTCTTGCACGAGGCGATACAGATCTTGACCAAACCGAAGAAATTTCTCAAGAAAATACGTGAAACAATCGTATATTTTACCAAATTCACGCATCACGTCGTCCGCGACGCGTGTTATGCATCTAACTGCATGATGGTGCAGCGGACGCGACGAGAATTCGCGAATCAAGAAGCGAATGAATTGTTCTCCTCGACTATCTCTACCCAAGTTACGTATGAAATCCACGAGTGGATGCTCGGTTCTCTTGGGATGAATTGGAAGTTGGCCCTTCCAATTGTAGATCATGGGATAGGTTTCATTCGAAAGGTGATATCGCTTACTTTCAATCTTCGAAGTCGCGTTATTTAATATACCCATTCTCATGAATTTCTGAAAAATTTTTTGGTTGGAGTCCTCGCTCTCCACGTGAGAACTTTTGCTGGAACACAATCACTAACGAATTGATATATATTTCTTGATTATTGCACGTAAAATCACTCGTCACAGTGAAAATGCTACTGTACCTTAACGCGTCGACGTCGAAAAGTCAACTGTTCACCACATGCGCGACAGTCTACGATCTATTGACTTTGGTGAAAGTACGCAACAGCCTAGTCTTACGATCTAATGGTAAAATGAAATGCACAGACGCCGTAGAACTATGGCTTCTAAAAGTAACACCTACCATGAGCGTGAGAATTCAAATTCATGTAAAGATGTAGATTAAAACATCTATTGTACAATTAAATTTTTTATGAATTTATTAAAATAAAAACACAGTTGTCAATCTAATATTGTGCCGGAAAACCCAAAATATAATTATTATAATTTTTTTTGCGCTTATTTTCATTGTTTTTATCAGTTTTGCAATGCTTATTTTCTCTTCGGTGCTCATTGGATGATAAATAAATATTATCACGTTTATTTTTCAATTAAACAAAAAAAAACGTGATTTTTCGATTTAAATTTGTATTAAACGCGTTCGGTATATAAAATTAAAACACGCGTTGGTAGCGGCTAGTATAGCTCAAGCTGATGTACGAAAATAAGTAGCATAGAGTTGTAGCAGCCACCCGCGTGTATATAGCGTCTGTAGCCAGAAGCACATGGCTGGGTATAGGCCACGCCCCTACTTCGCTACTTTCTCTTTCTAAAGCTACAATCGAGTTAAGGCCCAAAAATGAATGAAGTTTGAACAGGTGGCTGGCGTGGACACACACATACGCGCATATTCGTGTCTTAAAGTAGTGGGGTGATGATAATAATATTAATATTGACAGATGGATGGAATAGTATAGATTTGACGTATTTAGGTAGGTATTTACAAGCACACGAGGCACAGCTTTGGACAAAATTCATCTTTAAAAATTCATCTTTAATAATAAATATCTCTTTAAGTAGTTCGTTGGAGATGCATATTAAATTATATCAATAGAAAGGCGAGTATTCAAGCTATCTACTGGTATGCTTTTTATTCACATCTGTGCGTAGATAACCAAG